CCCCCCCCCCCCCCCCCCCCCCCCCCCCCCCCCCGAAATGACGCCCCTGAGCAACCAGTCTGCTTATTTATTTTGTTTATTTTGACAAATTGCAGCTGGCGTAGCGCCTGCTCAACGAACTTTGCGGAAATGGCAAAGGCGGAAAAAAAGTTAGAACGTAGAAGGCCGGACGGCTTGAAATCTCCGGAATTTCTGGCTCGTTCCCCTGCTTCGGAATGAGGCATGCAAAATATACAAAATTAAGCTCCCTTTTTTTTTTTTGCAAGTATGAAATTTGCCCAAAGTTTTGGTGTCGGCGGCGATTTTTTGCAATTCTGAGCGGATAGCGACCGATGTGCAAAAACGGCCTCTTCCGGTATTAGCACAGCTCTTATCTGATCGCACTTCCTTTCCCCGCACGCCACCGCAATTCGGCACGAGAGCAAACAAGGCGATCCCCCTCGGATAATCCCTTGGGTAATCCCTTTAGGTAGTCCCACAATTATCCGGAGCAAACACACGCCGGCACGCGATGAAACTCACGATGAGTAAGGAGCTGTAAGGACCCATGTATCAGATGTATCAGATGTATCAGATGCGAGGCATCACTACACCGTTCGACGACGAGGTCCAAAATTCCTATGGCGAGGTCCAAAAACTTCCGTCGATTTGCGTCAGAGCGTTTCCGAGCAACGTTCTGTTATTTCCTTTCGTTACCGTTCCGGATTCATCGATCTCCGTGGCGAATGGAGCCGTGATTAATGGTTACCGCCGGAGTTTGCCTTTCCCATCGGGCGATGGAGCCGCCAATATTGCCAATATTGCCTTCCGTGCGATTTCTTTCCGAAAGGAGGGTATCGATGTGTGTTTCGGTGACCCTGACGATTCGTATCGCCTACGACTCATTGGCCAGATATCGACCGGATATCGGCCGGATACCGGCGTTCCCTTCGATGGAGACGAGAGGCCAATGGCGGGGTGCATTCGCTCCCCTGTCCGCTTAGAAAACGAGGAAAATGACAAAACGCCTCAGCGGTTCCCCGCCGAATTTGTGCAAAATTAACGACGCCCCCATCTCTTCCTTCCATAAGAAAAACTCACGCACCGCGGCGACATCCGCCTCCCGGGCACACGCCCACTCTAGGATTACACACCGGATCGCATTACACGCCTTTGGATGGCATTACACCTCATTACACCTCCCCCCCGTGTTTTGCCCTCCGTCGTTCACTTCACGGCCGGTGCGATGCCGAGGAAGAGGACGTTTCCAACCGTCAAAGGTCTGTTTCTTTGCAAAATTATTTGCAAAAAAATATTTTAAATATTAATTTACGCTCCTAATTATTTTCTTTAATTTAATTTTTAAAATATATGTATGTATTTTATTGTTACAGGGGGTGTCTGCAAAGTGGGCGACAACGCGGGCAGGGAACGGACCCGGATTCAGAATCTTCGGATCGCTTTTCTTCAGCTGCAGAAGTGCCTCCCGCAGGTTCGCCCTCGGTGACATTACGTTACTCGCATTAAGTTTACGTTATTCGCATTAAGTTTACGTTACTCGCGTGCTGTTCGTGTCGATGAGCGCGTCTGATCCTGTAATGTCATTTATGAAATAAGGCCAGAACAGGTATTGAAGCACTTTAAATCATCTAATGTTGTAATTAATGTAATTTAAATTTAAAACATCTAATAATGCATTATATATTACAAAATACAAAACGTCGCGGCCAATGGAATGCATTCGGGAATTGGCCATTGGAAACTAACCAATTTTGAGGGCCAATCGTAATTCCTTTCAGTATCGCCATGCGATTCGATTTTTCCAATATTTATCATTATTTTTCATTTTCAAAATGTATTTTAAATTAGTTCCGTGCGCAGAAATATTATTAGTTACCAAATATATATTACAAAGTGCGAATGACTGAAATAAACGCCAATGTTTTCAAAAAATATTCAAAACGCGATGATAAATAACATGATTGCATTTTTCTGATCCCAGAAAGACGGAATTCACAATCTGTGATGGGGGATTTGTTTTTCTCGGAACGAAATCGTCAGAATGTAATTAAAGAACACGTATTAAAATTATGCTGGGAGGCAGAGCCCAGGGAGGCAAGGGGGCAGGGAGGCAAGGGCCTAGGAAGGTTGTTGACTTTCACTTATGGATTTCGCATCGTGGTACCCAAGAGAAGCTGAATTTTTTCTCTGGTGTAATACACCAGAGAAAAAATTCACCCCCCTGCTTCACCTTTTCCCTCCATGGTTCCATGCCTCACCTTGATTCCTGGGCAGTTAATGGGAACAAAAGTGGTACCAAAAAAATGTATTTATAAAAATGTCATCCGACTTGCTTTTCCTACGCTGTATGGGTGCAAAACTCGGACCAAATGAAGCTGCATTAATATTCATCACCTGGAGTGGTATTATTTTTTATTGCTCCTGCACCATCCCATATTGATGAATTTTAACAATTGTTAAAACACTTGGTGAATCTTGCTTTTTGACAAATACGTTACGTCAGTAACGCTGGAAAACTCTCCATGACAATTCATTTGTGAGCAACAACAAATGTCATCTAGCATGAAGAAAGGTGATCTATGCCCTCATTTCTGAAAACACGGAAGCTTCAGGTTCAGCCTACGCTCCATGAGGCACTATTGAAGTTGAATTTCAGAATTTTATCATACATGTTTTCGCTTTGCCTCAAAGCGAAAGCATTTATCAAGAAAAGCGTGCAAACCTGTCTTGCGCGTTTTGCGCAATTTTCGAAGATCTGGGCGGGAGACCGAACGTCCTCCCTCGCAGCCGCCGTCTCCAAGACTGAGGCGGGATGCGACCGGAAACGAGAGCCTCCTTCTCCCGTCCGCTTGGGGGGGGGGGTCTCGCAGGGTTGCCGCGTGTGGCAGTGTCCACTTCCTTTTCCGGTCCGTGACCGTACTTGTCACTCGAGGACGACTTGCATTACGAACTGGCCGAAAGACCGGCTTGCTTTCTGTTATCTGATTCGTCTTTCGGAAGCGAAACAGGATTTCTTGCAAAAGGGGAAAGCCACCCAAGAAGCGAAAGATCGAGGCGATTCCAAGGCGAATATTTTTTTCATCTGTTTTTCTCCTTTTTCCCCGCGTGCCATCACGACCCCGATCGAGGGCCAGACGACCGACAAAAACGCGATTGCGTGCATAAAACGTTGCAGAGAGAAAGCGTTCCCACCGCCGACAGCCGCAAGGGATTCACCGACGTTTTACACCTCACTTTCCCCGCATTTTATCGAAAAGACATAAATTTATCCTTTCGAAGCTGGCCCCCGCCCTCCACTGCCACTGACTTCTTGGTGATTTAGCAGAAAACCGCTCGACTGCTTCGAATCGTCTCTGCAGTTCTAACTGGCACGGTCGAGGTCTTAGCCTAGTAATCCGCTTCAACCGACTGGAAACCACTCGACCAAGCCTAAATCTTTTGAAAGCACGGAGATAGCTCCGCCCACGTTTCTCGAGAAACCGTCGCCTATGGGAACGTGCCCAGCGAATTGCGCTTCCCGAGGATCCGGGAAACTTGGATCGGCAGTAACGAAGACATTCGACTCGGCTGAACATTAGCCTAAGCATATACGAAATTGCTTAACCTAAGGAACATGGACCTGGTCTATCATTGGCTGATTCCACTTTTTAACGAACCATGCAAGTCAAGATTATTTTCCCAGTAGAACGAGTCAAGGAATGTGCTCCGCTGCATGTGGATGCCGCGATTAGACTGTTGAGCTTTTTGCGGCGATCCGCTAGATGGACGATCGCAGTGACATCTGTATCACGATTCGGGCGACGAGAGGCAGCGGAGTGCCATCAGACCTTGGAGTCCCGTTTCGGCTACTGTTGGACTTGCCTGTGGCGTCGGCCGCCAAAAAAAAAAAATCCTCCGTCGAAATGCTTTCGGTGCAGCGTGTCAGTGTTAGATTCTTGATGTGGCCGTTGCCGTTGCGGTTTTCAGTGGGCCTCTTCGTGTTTTGTAGGGAGTGAGGCACGCCGGCGAGAATAATCGGTAGAGCCATGGCCCTCTTTCAGCCACGTGTCGACCAGTTTATTTCAAGGGTTAGAACCTGGATAAAACCTGTTTGAATTGGAAGGTGGAGCTTGCTACGACGGCCGCTTCCCCAGGCCCCCGCAGGCCACGTGTTACCTTTTCCCAAAGGGGTGTGGTGGGTGTAGTCCCCTAGAAAGTCAAAAGTCTCATCAGTATACGGATACAGCAGTCGTGGCCTTCGGTAGTATCTCCGACATACGTTTAAATATCAATTTGGCCCTTCGTAGAATTAAGGTTCAGCATCACCGCCCTGCAGAAAAAACCTTGAGTTTCCCTCTCGACTCCACCCTACAAAACAACCTCACCCGTTTCCCCCTCGCAGGTCCCGCCCGACACGAAGCTGTCCAAGCTGCACACCCTGACCCTGGCCACGGAGTACATCGCCCGACTGAGCCAGCTGCTGGAGACGGGGAAGACGGAGTCCCCCTGCGACGCCCTCCCCGACTCGACCTCCAGCTCCAACCGGGTCAGTCTAACGAGACGGTGTGCGCGCGAGACAGGGTTGCCACATTACCGATTTCCTTCGTTTACTCCGCCGAGGCGAAAGAATCGTTTTCGAGGTTTCAATCCCTTGTCGACACTTATTGGCTCGGTGGGCGATGAGATGTCATGCGACGGACCAGCGATTGAAAAATAAAGGAGGGGGCCCTTTGACCCCCGCCCTTAATTTTTTTAATGCGTCCCTTCAGCACTGTCTTCCGAGTATTTAAATGTATCTTATGCATCACGTTAATAATAATAAAAATGGTGAAAGAAACATTTATCACCAGCTATCAAATCAGATCACAGTACATTTAAATCCACTTTATGAATTTTCTGCCATCATACAAATTAAAATGAAAAGTCTATATTTCCCCTTTCTTAGATTGGCAGAACTGTCCAGTCCATTAACAAATCACTTTGGGTAGCAATCTAATGAAATTTCTATTTTGAATTTCTTCCGGCAGAGATGGCCAAGGTGGTGGCAGAGCATGATGGGTCAAGCACCCTCTGATGCAACAGTCGTTCGTAAACCAACTGGAATCCTTTATTCGGGTGGAAGACCAGGAGTTGCAAGGGAAGACCAACAACCTTGAGTTGCAAGAACATCAACACTCAGCCAACAACGACAGCAGCCAGGAATCAAATTTTTTTTGACGCCATAAGCAGACAGGGTTTGGGGAAGACAACAAGCCTAACATCGAGAAAGACCCAATTGGTCCAAAAACTTCTGGATCAGAAAATGCATGTTTAAAAAATAATAAAATGTAACATCCTCGACTACAGTTGATCCAAGAAAATTCAAACAATATCCATTAGAGGATCATGTTAAGCTTAAGTGGAACATACTGTACATGGTGGCAGAGTAGGCCAATGAATGTCATGCTGATTCAAGTTGTGATTTCAATCAACAGTGGGAGTCGACAAAATCACTTGGAAAAATCAATTTACACTTGGAGATTTAAAAAAAAAAAGCTATATATAATAAATTCAGTGGATTGTGAAACTGAACGATGAATAGAATTCCATACACTTTCATGCTTTCATATCGAGGTCATTTGTCAATTTCCACTACAGTTTGAAAAAAAAAAGCCATCTGGAAAGTTTGAAGATGTAGAATTATAGTAATTTAGGTTTTGTTGAATCATCTCAACGAATTACTTATCATCTAGGGCTTTGTAATGCACCAGTGCAAAAACAGGCACTCAGAAGCAACAGAGGAAGGATATAATAGAAACAAGTTATTATTTGAGCAAAGGTCTCTGAAGAAGCTTCAGTGATGTCAAAATGGAGAGAATCCAGAAAGACCGGAGATTTGAAGGCTCTGATGGATCAGTCATTTATGAAGTGTGATTGTCAATTTACTTTACCTTTTACTTCTGCTGATAAATGTCCTAAAATGCCGTCGACAGGTTGTCGTCTCACCGGTCTGACACGAGACCAGAACTGAATACGTGATAAAATACCTACGATATTCTCAGCGATCTATATCAACAATAGTGATTTACCGAGAGGAATCTCTTAGAGTAGTCATGAACAAGATGAACATAAAACAAATGGAAAAATAATCAAACAAAACAAATTAAGCAAATTCTTCATTTATTAAAAAGAAATGTTTTTACACACATCTGGGGGGTGACTTGGCAGTTATATGACCAAATAATTTTATTTTGTTCTTCAAAGGAAAAGGCTGGCATAACTTGTGATTGACTTTGGACATAAAAGTATGCACAAGTGCTTCCAGCATTGACAAAATGATGTCAAACTGAAGCAGGGTGAATGCCGCAAGATAGTCTCCTTTGGATGTTGGCTTGTAGCAAGTTTTTTTTTAAGCAAGACAATATATTTGATTATCAATGAAGTATGTCTGGAAAATGGCATCAGAGAAGGAAAGATTTTTTGGAGGGCTGTGATTTTTGACTGTCAACCCAAAGGCAATTGTTCCTTACAATGAAGTTGTATGGATGCATATTTTTAATTGCATAGGTGGCCACTAAACATTCCAGAATTTGAACTACATATCATTAGAGCATCTTACAAGTGGAATGTTAAAGAGGAGAAAACCTTTCACAAGATTCAGTTAGTGAGGCAATTATTAGACACGGTATATCTCTCTACACATGAGACCAGCTGCTTAAATAAGCAGAATATCACTCCCACTGACATACCCACCCAGTAACAATTACACCTGAACTTGCCACCTGCATAAACTGTAAAAGACATTTCTTCACCCACATGGCTCTTTGTATATTGAACTGTTTGAGTTGCAGTGCCCAGGGATGGCTCTAAAAATTGACTTTTTAAAACTATGAAACTTTTCAGCTGTCAACCCTTTTCAATGTAGGGGAGGGAATACATTCCTAAAGCTTGGTCAAGAAAGGATACAAGAAGAGTTTCATAGATGCAGTGGGTACCATCTGCTAACAAGGGCAGGTGAGAAAAAATTTCAGAGCAACATCTACCAATTCAGGCAAAAGCAGCTCCAATTGTTGGAATTTTTAGCCCCTTCACTGCCAGGTTTTTGAACACAAGACAAGCATGAAAACTTTTCAGAGGTGCTAGTGAAGGGTTACAACTACCCATTTTGCATTACAGCAAGAACTTGTAAACTCGTATACATTCTGATGGTGGAAACGACCCAAAACACTGTACTTTGACTTCCTTTCGCTTCTACAATTCCACATGGAAAAGATTGCAACTCAAAGGGGAATGGAGCTGTAAAATTCATGACAGCATGTACCAGTTGGGTCTGCAGGCCCAACTTCATTAGCCATGTGATCTTATGCATAGCATTACTAATTAGTGGGAAGAATCCTTCAAAGATGATGTAATTGTACTGGTCCCAAGCTCACCAACAAGTCACATACCTTTTGCCTCAATGTCTATTAAGTGAAGAACCCTGGATAATTCATGTCCGTGCATTCTGTCAAGATCATAAGTGGCCAGGTGGGGGGGAAGTGACAGGTTAGCATGTCTGAATAGTTCTTTCCAGCATAGATACCAGATTACTTTAAGGAAACTATAGCATAATGGGGAAATTACTTCTTCCAGAAGCATCTTTTCCCCTGAAACTTCCAGATGCATGTTGGAAAGGTCAAATTTAAGTCAATCCACAATGAACAGTCAAGACAGTGGATTGAAGTATCTTGCAATTGTGATTTGAAGCCAATTCAATATTATGGGGTTTTTCCACTCCATTTACATTAAAGCAATTATCTGTAGTAGAAGTATACATGGTACTGAAGATGTGATATAGTCATCTGTCATCTACAGGCAAATACTTGCCTGTAGGACTACAGGGGAAAGACAAATGAGGTGGCTGCACTATTCTGTGCATGACAAAATCATCAGTTGATTTTTTTCCTTCTACCATCTACTTGCTATCCTCCCAACTTCATAGAAGTACCAACAGTAAAGTAAATCTGGTTAAATCTTATTTCCTTTTCAAGGTCAATTTCAGAAATTGGTACCCACTGACCTTCGTTACATTCTACCATAAGATTTTTACCACCTCCCAACCTAGGCACTTAACACAGTCAAGACACCACATTGCATGCCATGACTTGTTACAGTATTACTTAAGACCAACAGACCTAGAGCCCCACCTTCTCATAAAGTCACCTATAACCTGTGAAGCTGGGAATTTTAAACTGTTATGAATAATGATTTGTTTTACTTATGCCAGAGAAATATTTGAATTTCCTCATAGTATTTGGGTAAGTGGATATTTAAAAACCAGCCTGTAACAATTTTGATGCACAATCTTTTTTCATGAGGCTGGATGCAGCTTTTGCGCCAAACTCACGGTTGGGATAACTTGAATACCACACAACCTGTCAAGAGTGCCATTTGATGTAGAATAATAGTGGGATTTTATGGGTTTTTTTGCAGTTTCTTTTTGGCCAAAAGTTGGTTTGAGGTTGGATGTCACAGGCCGGGTCCATCCACTCACCCATTTCATATTGATAATTTACATGTTCTGTTCCTCTCGATCACAAGTTAAAATTTAAATTGCATATGAGGTAGAAAGTATGCCTAGACTAGAATAGCATGTCTTTGCTAGCTTGTACACATGGAATCATTAAAAGAAAAAGATGATGCAGCATAAAAAGCTGAAATAATGTTAAGAATATGTTACAGTTAATAGTGAGTTTCTTGAGACATGTGCAATGGTGGTTCATGTACTTTAATCAGGCCACCACTGCAAACAGTTCTGTATGGTATCGACTTGCACCGAAGATTGCAGGATCACAGTTCTTATGCTATTCATAACAAATGGAGGTATTGATTAAGCATAACAGAGGGTGAAACTCAAGTCTGCCCTCTACCTACATGAAAGTGAGTCATGCTATCTATGAAAGCGACATATCTCATATCATTGACAAATACTTCCAGAGTTTTTTGAAGGATGTACTAATGAATTCTGTCATGCCTCATGAGCACTCCAAACACACATAAAATCTCAGACTAGCACAAAAATGACAGTCATGGGTTCCAGATCTCATTGCATGCCTACTATATTGCAACTGCAATATGAAAATTGCTCATCAAATCTTGGTTTTAAAAAAATTGAGGGTAAGACAATACAATAAAGAAGGTACAAAAATAGATCTCCCGTGAGAACATATTGCACTGTGAATAAAGCACTGATCAAGAATAGAATCTACAGGAAAGGACAGGGGTAAAATCCCACAAAAAACACAGGGATAAGTAATGACAAATTTTGGCAATTGATATGAAATGAGACTCCATAGGGATGACAGTTGATTCAGATCACATCATGGAGGCCAAAGCATAACACACCAAAACTGTCACACCGGGACCATCACATGCCCATATTCTTACCACCTCTTGGCACAATACAAAAAAAAAGAGTGGCATGTGATTCCAAGAATGAGTGATATAGACTGCTCACAGCTCAGAGACAGTCGCATGGAGATGGTGGAGGAGGATCTCCAGATGATGCTCATCAAAGATCAAGGTTGGTCTGAAGCGCAGGGTCACCTCACCACACATCCCGACATGAATTCCTGCAGGAGGGAATATTCAGGGTTTCCCAGCAATGCTTACCACATTCATACCACACAAGATGATGCTGCCATTTTTGAGCTTTAAGATAAAACAATTGTACAGTATTCAATGCAAAACCAAAGTGAGTTGTCAAAACTTAAAAAGAAACAGTGGATCAAAACCAGGCCTTGTTGATGTTCAGCCTACAATAGCTTTGAAAGCTTGTTGCCAGATGGTTTCAAGTGACCCTACCTGAGACAGCATTATATTAATATTCATCAACATCGAGAAACAACACTCAAAACTAAAGAATGCAGAAACATTTCATATACTTGCTATCCATATATATCCAAACGAAAGAAGAGGATATACTTGCTAGGTGAGTTCATCTTTTGGTATGCCCTTTCTAAATGATTCATTTCATCATGAACAAGAAAACCAGTCTCTTAAGAAAATGCCTGGAAAAAAAAAAGTGGCTAACAGTGGATGTTGACCATCTACCCAAGAAATTTGCTGATTGCACGATATGGAGAAAAAGAGAGTTCTAGTTTGATTGTTGGTGCCAACTACTGCAGAGCTTTAAGCTCATCACACACTTCAATGGGGCAAGCACCAAGCAGCACCCTCAAGTATGCAACTGTCCCCTTAAGAAGATTTTGCAACAGAAACCACATGTAATAAGGATGAAAAATGAACAAACCTTTCTTCAAGAGTGCAGCGTGAGCCTTGCAGCAAAGCTCTGCTGAGGAAAAGTTGATAGCACACAGAAATCCCCGTCCTCGGGCAGAGTTCACCTTCGTGGGGAAGTGGTTCTCCAATTCCGTGAGCCCGGAAACAAACTTCTTTCCAACCTTCCTCACATTCTCAAGGACATTATCTCTCTTGATCACATCCAGCACTGCCCGGAGAAGTACCAGTTTCCCTGGGTCACCCATCCATGTATTGAAAATGCGGAATGTGCCATTTGGCCTGCAGTGGAGAAGAACAAATCCACAAGGGTCAAACACCTCTATTTTCAGGCATTGGACTGCTTCTTCATGGATGTCCTACATGATGTCATTTTTGGTTGATACTTTAGAATCATGGACAATGTAATCAGATTTCCTTCATCATTAATAAGAGGTATTACTAATAACAATATCATAATGACTCACATTCCTACTTCAGTTTAGACCAGCCGTGAACATAACTTTGAGTAAGACCTGTAACTTGCAATGGGAAAGTGAAGGTGTACCAAAAAAACCTGGGCTGAGTTGAAGTTGAGAATATACCCAAAAATCAGGAAAATCTCTTAGAATAATTCATGTCTGGTACTCTGGTTCAAGGGTTTCCAGACACTGAAGGATTTTGGCTGATTTATGGAATCCAGCTCTATAACCACTGATAATTCAGCAAGTACTAATGACCCATGATTCTCCTCAGAGTTCCCAAAGAAATCAGTCAATGCTATTTTGTTATAATCATATAAATGGTGATTCTAAGCTGATCTTGGCTTGGAGAAGTACCTGCATATTCTATGGTAATCACAACATTTTTTTTTGCAATAAGTAATCATAATTAGATGATGCATTTGATGAATATTTTAAAACACCCAAAGGTAAACTGCTTCTCAGAATGATAGGAGAGAAGGTAGGGCATTGTACCTGAAGGCATGTGTGTTGTAGAAGCCACCAGTGAGCATTTTCTTGGAGAAGGTTAGGAGATCAGGAGGAGTGGAAAGATTAAGTTGATCAATGCACCACATGGTACCTGTCACTCCTCCACCAGTTTGCACCTCATCCACTATCAGGCCCACTCCATGCTAAGTACATAAAATACTGGATTCAACATCCCTTGAATAAAAAAATTTATTTGAAAATAAATTTTAAAAGTGATAAATATGCCAATATCACAACCAGGTTTAGTGTGTTCCCTCAACATTGAGGTTTTTGGATCAAGCTAGCTTCTTGCTAATGAGGGGGCTGGAGGTGAGAAGTGGCAGATGTTGATCAAGTTCACCTGACTCTGAAGGAAAGGTAGCCTTGGCAGAAGGGCATTGCAAATTGAAGCTCCCTCTTTTTCTTTTTAAATATTATTTTGCGGGAGCAATCCAAATCACCAAAAAGGTGTCTAATGTCCCAGGAAACTCCTTACTCTATTCATCAATCAGCCATTTGGTCCTCAAATTCATGTTAACTGGCTTGATGCTCGACAGGTTAATAGCCCCCCCCTTTGCCTATCTTTTTTTTTTTTCTCTAGTAGCCATGAGGGTGGTCATCTTCCCTATCTAGCTGCATGTTATATGCCATCCATCTCAATCCATGCATTTTAACCATCACCACTTCAATATAGGCCTGTATGGTAACAGCTATCAGTGTCTCAAATGACCTTTCTTTCCACTGGCAAGGTGAGAGTGTATTGTTCAACTTCTGCATCACTGAACTCACAGGTAATCATGACAAAACTGTAGGCCTACAACATACTAACAGAGCAGACAAAGCCCTTAAAGATATGAAATGCAGATTGTGGGAATATACCAAGGAAGGTGCTTAAACATAATCAAGGCTGAGACATGTAGGAGGATAAAACAATGGGCAGAAATATGTAGGCAGATGTGACGATGGCAAAAATACGAATGTATCTTCATCCCCAAGCTATGTTAAAGAAACAGTTTGATATCTGAAAGCAGGCTTAACTATCATATTCATCAATGGCTCAATTCATTTGACCTGAGAAAGTTCCAATCCATGCCAATCTGGGCAAGTAAATTCAAAAACTCCATCAATGATATATGTCCTATTGGGATTCATGGTTGAATACAGTTGAATATGAACACCTTGATATCAAAGCATAAAAAATAAACATGGATCTAGTCCAATTCTTAAATGGCCCAAGTTTTGTACTCTATTATCAACTGGCCTTTACTCCTGCTCTGTCAATGTATACCATAAAGATGTTAGATAGTTCAAATAAGAAATGTCAATGCCACCCTTTACCTTAGTGGTGATGTCACGTAAGCCTTGGAGGAACTTTGGAGAGCCATGGTGATCTCCACCCTCTGATTGTATTGGTTCAACAAGGATCCCAGCCACTTCTTTCTTGGTACCTTTCAGGCTAGTCAGAATATCCTCAATCTGGAGAGAAATTAGTACTTTTAAAATTACAAGTATGATGTACATGTTGATGTCCCACAACAGTGATAAAAAATGGGCAGAAAATTGACCTGAGCAAGGCAACGCTCATCTTCAGCGGCATTGTCCCTTTGGTTGGAAGCCAGTGGATACTTATAGCGAGGGTAATTGGCAATTGGCCACTGGAATGCAGGGATGTCTACCTTGTGGATTGGTTTAGAGTGAGTGCAGCTAAGTGCACCAAATGTTCGACCGTGAAATGCACCTAAAAAAACAGAGAAGCACTTAGAAATTGCTGGAAATTGAACTGCCAACCCTGCCTATGCAATTGTTCTCATGTCCCACACAATAAAAGAGGTTTCAGCATTCAGGCCTTCATATCTGCTGAGAGACCTGTAGAAGCACTGCATCTATGCACAGATTGTCTCATACCTTCAGCAGTGAAGAATGTTGAAAAGTAATCATTATTTAATGTGTTTTCAACCATAAAAGGATAGATAAATGATAAGAGTATGAGAAAAAATTTTTTTTTTTTAATTAGCAATTAATTTTCCATTAAATTTTGAAGAACAAAACAGGGCAAAATCACGGCATTGGCAGAATATCAATTCCCACCAAAAAATATGATGCTGACTTTGCAGTATTGCTGCTGTGAATCTATTTCAATCCTACCCTACCCCTCAAACGAACCTAAAAAAAGAAAGAGACCATCTGGAAAACTGATATTCAAATTCAAAATGGAATAATTTTGATTTACACACAAAAATGAAGCATAATGATTATGGCTAAGTGAATCAAGACAACAAAAAAATGATAACCTTCAACTGCAAAAACAATGTCAAAGCATCCCTTCAGGCATAAAGAGAAACATTTCTCATGAAAGAATGAGACCTTGTCCTACCATGAAAGGAGAGGATGGAGAGTTGGGGAGAACCAGGTGGTTCATTCACCATGCAGCTCTTCATATCCTCTGGATCTGGGGTGGTGGTTCCTCGCTGCTTATTTCGATACTGGATCATTGCACACTTAAGAGCATTCTCGATGGAACAAGTCCCACAAGCCATTGTGGTGACCTCGGTAAGACCCCGTGGAGCCACCTAAATCATATCATACCATATGACAAAATAAATTTTCCCTGTGCTCCACTTGATACCATAAGAGCATTAATCAGATTCAATGGAATAAGCATAGACTATGGATCCACATTCTGAAGGACCAGTTCAATTTTGTGAGGGGTATCATTCTCAATGTGGTGATACACATCATGGATATTTTTAAATAAAAAAAATTTGTCAGTAGGCATGAACAAACATATCATTAACTTTTAAAATGTGTTAATCTTCAAGCAAAGGCATGACTTTGGTTAGATATATCTTGCTTTCTAAAGCATGAACTCTTTCTTTTTTCTTTTTTTTATGGCATAAGTAACAGCAACAGAGAAACCTGCTAATGATATTGATGCTGTAGGCTGTCCTGCATGGTCTGTCAATGTCTCTGCTTGTCAGGATATATATCTCAAGCTCAAAATGATGAGAAACTTAGCTTTCCCTCCATTTTCCTGAGCACAGGAAATTGAACAATAAGATTCTGAATCTCCCCAGTAGACTCTTTCCCTCCAAGGAGCCCATATACCAATGGCCAATACTGATGCCTGCTGCTTCATAAGTGTATCCAAGTAAAAAGAGAAGGAATAAGTTGAAACTCACAGAAAGTAGGACACTGCGCAGCAGGTGTGGCCACTCCCCACCAGGAAACATTCCAAGAGCAGGTCGATTAGCAAAGATTGCCTGCAAAAATCATTCAGCATACCAGTTTTGTAGGTCTACATAAATCAATGCCATTGATTGGCCCAAATGACCAAAGCAAACCAATTGAATTCCCACTATTCTTTTTGGTGAAATTAGCCATTTTTGTTCAACTTTTATTTACTTGGTTCTGAGACACACTGACCAACTGTGCCCTGAGCCAGTGACAAAAGTAGTAAACTGAATCTTCTGATAGCAAATATGTTTTCACTTCAGCTGCTGCAATGATGTTTGGTACAAAAAGCCACTTAGATAACTGATTTAAAAAAATGAGCTTGAAAGTGATTTACTTAACTACTTTGGAGGTGCATGCCCACAATGTTGTGAAGCTTTCCAAGGGATGGTGGAACATTCAGGTAAAGAAAATGGCAAAATTTTACATAAAAGCAGCATTAACTTACTGAAAATAAAAGTAAACCACAGTAGTTAAGCAAATGTTAACAGAAATTTTGAAACAATAGCTGTAGCTTTAGGGCATTGCAAACGGGATGGTAGCAAGGTGAAAATTGCCAAAGCTATGTTTGAATGACTGGAACAAGGTCTAATAAAAAACCTTTGAGAGGGTCTTCAATTTAAGAAGTAACTTAGCCAAGTACTTCTTAGGACAGGTTAAACTTTCAAAGATGTGTACTCACTGATGACAGAAGTATATATATAATTTATAAACATGCCATACAACAATATTCTGAATGCACCAACAGCTGCTTTAATCACAAAATCTTAGTTGAAGAAGTCTGACATGATAAGATTGACAAGTAGAACAATCTGTGATTAGTGAGATTTAAGAAGTCAGTCAACACTTTAAAAAGTTGGTCTAATATGCTTTGCTATTGAATGGCTTCTTAGCTGCAGCATGAGTGTTTCTTCCTGGCAGTTTATACTGTGATACTAAATGAATCCACTTGATATGAATCAGAAGGAAAAACTCCATTAAGTTCATCTACACTGCAGGCTCTGCTCATATGAGGAGTCACACATCAGAAAAAAAGCACCTGATTATGCCTTTAATTCAATTGATGGAGTGGGAGATTTAGTCTTACACAGTAGCTCTGGCACAACTCACCGCATTCTTAGGGTCAGCCACAGCCTTCAGTACATCAGGATGATTGTAACCAATTGGAATGGATGATATTTGAGTGAAGACATCAAGAAATGTGTTCCCATCCACATCAACCAGATAGTTCCCAATGGATTTCTCATAGTCAGCAAAGAGGTTGACAGCAGCAACCTGAAAATTTAATAATATAAGCCAGAAAATAAATAATAGACAGAAGTACCTGTGACATAGAAGCCCAGCTGACATGGTTGCACACCTTTTAGCTATTAATAATCTACCAAAATGAGATGAAGGCACTGAAATGTTCAAATATGCAGGTTAACAATATTATCATGGAAAAATGTAGGCCAAAATCTTGTCAAAATGAAATAGTTGGAACAAGTTACAGGCTCTCATCAATAAAGGAATCAATAATATCTAATAAATAAATGCTTCAAATTCATCTCAGATCTGCCAGGCCTTATTCCATTATATTCAAATTTTTGCTTAGATAGTTTATAAGCTATTCATGCAGAGCCATGTCAATAGCTTTTCTCATTTTACTAAATAATCTTGGTTAAAGGTCTAGCCAACTGAGAGCTGACTAGAGAGTATCTACAGGTTCATAGGAGAGTCCTAAAATCCTAATAAACCTTATGTCAATTTCCATTTTTCCTTCAGATGAATAATAAAGCTCTCATTTTTATGGAATATAGTCCGACTTCATAGCTCATCCACCTGAAACAAAAAATTTTGGTTATTCCCCAGTTCAAAACCCAAAACCACACAAATAATTTTTGCTGCAGAAATTTCAGAAACAATTTGTTAAGGGCATTAAGAATTACGAGTCAGCCAAGCTTTCTTCATATGGGTTAAGGAGGGGCATTAACAGAGGTATGTCTGGGCAATCAGGTAGCCTAATTATCAATGATTCTAAAAATAAAATAGGGAATTCTAGATCAAGTACTATTTCTGACAAACACTTCATTATAGGCAGCCAATTTCTGGGACTTTCATGACTTGCAGTATACACCCAACCAAATACAGAAACATTGGTATCACCTATTGATAGGTAAGGATAGGTATGAGGAGTGATATGACTTGACATTTATTTATATCCAGCATTATAACCAGACAAATGCAAGTTTACTCTACATAAGCTCAATAATAGAGCCAAAATCATTGAATAAAATCATCTTTTGATAGGGTTTACTATTCCAAAAGTTCTCCAAGTGGGACTTGAGGGCCAAGACTCAACCCATGTAGACGTCCAATACCTCTCCTATTTTACCAATTATTACACCAAATAGGTCTCTCTCAAGTATCCACAATGACAACACCAGAGACAGGTGGATAAAGGTCAGTTTCAAGACTCTCCAACACCACACATAGTAAAAGCTAGCTAAAATCCAAGGCTGAGAACAAGAAATTCAGAGTCAAACCTGTATCTGGTTCAGATCATCAAATAGTGCCTTGTGGGTGGGTCCAGGAATGGCAGTTACAACTGATGGAGCAGCAGGTTCTCTCAAGTCAGCAAGAGAAGCACAGGAATGAGATGTGGAGAACTGCTGCAATCTCCCTCGTAATGAGGCTAGGGAAAAAAAAAAAGGTAGCCAAGGTGCAGGCCAATTTATAAGTCAATCACAATGCATGATAGTGACTTCCAAAGTTTTTTCACTCCTTCTCAATATATTTGGATGAAGCCACTCAAAATAGCTGTAGATGAAGTCTCACACCTTCTCACTCAAGAAGTCTTTTTCATATCTCTCAGCAATGATACATGCCACTAACCCATTCATGCCAAACAGCTCCATCCAGAACCATTAACTTCAAGAGTCTTCCTGGCTTATTCAAATCTTTCTTGAATAATGGTTATTACAGCTTTACCACAGCAATGCAAGCCATCTGATGACTTGTTTACAATGTTTTTAGGTTGTGTCTCTGCATGTATCTAGAGCAGGTCTAAGAGGAAATGTTGAGGCTTCCTAAAAACTTGATCATTTTAAATATCTTTTTCAAACTATTTTTGTTTCTTCATTTTTTTCAAGTTTACTGTGAAAAGTAGCATGGTAATTTAAAAATAAATAAAAAATAATAATAATAATAAATAAGTATTTAATCCTAGCAAAATACAGTCAAGTTGCATTATTTTATTTTGATTACAAATTTTTAAAATAACTTCAATCTACATTAAATTTCTATTTATATTGACTTTAAGAAAAATCATAGTCAAAGAGTATGTACGCTTTTCTTAAGCCTTGTTGCATCCACAAACCTAAATCGAATGTTATCCCTATGCCAAACACATAATTCAAGCATGACAAGGTTGAATACACCGCAAATGGGGTTTCTAGGTCGAACAAAGCGCGAAGATCAAAGGATTCACCTCCCATGCATCAGTCCTACGGGACTCAAGCAAAATTTGGCATGAATTCAATTGAAAATCGTCGTATCCAGCTCAACAAAAGATACGTCGCATTAGAGGTCGAAATTTCATGCTAGGCCTAGGCCTACCCCGAGCCGACGGGCCTCAAGTAGGGCACTCGGCCTATTGGGTTAACCAGGTTAGACCCTGACCTAAATACGTAAGTAGATGCTCCTAGGTCTACAAGGAACTCACAAGAAGGTATTTGAGGTGATCGTAGGAGCGGGGCGGCGAGCAACGAACGAAAGCGAAGCGCCATCTTTCACGGAGAAGGGAGTATTCAAAACCGGAATGAAACCCTTTTATAGACCGGGTTGACCTTGAAACGTGTTTACCCATCTGGGATCTTTCGTATTAGAACGAAATTCATAAGGAGAACTCCTCTGTCTTCCCAGCTCGGGAAACATGCGATAAATCCTGCCAGATTCGTCAGGACGAAAGTATTTTTCTACTTTTTCTTTGGCGCCAAATGCGACGCATTGCTCAGAGTGAATCGATTGTTGGGCAGAAAAATCTGCTTTTCTCCGGGTTTTGCCATTTGTTTTGGGGTGTGTTGCGAGGAAATGTCTTGAAGTCCTCGAGGATTTGAAGCAGTCCTCAGTCGATGGCGGCGGTGGCGCTTCAGTTCGCAGATATGATGTTCCATATAGCGTGAAACATGGGCCCACGTTGCCTGAAAGGCAATTACATGCGCGATCCCAAAAGATTGGCGATTGTCGGCGAACTGACGTGCAAGTTTGAGTGCATGTGATCTGTCGATGTCGGTAATGACATCGGTGGGAAAGAAGTATACGACCTCGCACGGCCAGCCAAGGTCGAGCCAAGGTCAGCAAATCGATTTGCCGACCTTGAACGTGGTTTCACCACGTGGAGTGGCGGTGACCCCTCACTTTGAGCTAACCTTCTCAAAATTTTCGCCAGAGGCGAGGCCTTTAATGCTGGGACTATCAGCGAAAGGGAAACCGGTATATCGCTACATTTCCCTTGCATGAAGAAAAACTGCATGATCGAGCGATCGCCTAAGCTACTCGCAGGAACTATTATGCGCCAAAATTCAGCGCCATCTCTCCATAAAGTTTGAGATATTCCAGAAAGTTTATATACAGGGTGACGCAAAAGTCGCGCCCCATTTGGGGATTTCACTATTGCACTACATTAACTCTTGTTTCTTTCTTTGCAGGCAAGTGATGGCTGCAAAATTAACAAAAGACGAGAGGGTGGCATTTAGATATGTTCAATCATCCTGAGTACAGCGATTCGAAGTGTTTTCAAGTTTATGGCAAACTGAACATTTAGTGTAATTTACCCTATGGGGCGCGACTTTTTCGCCACCCTGTATTGTGACCCTTACAGACGTCGCACGTGACGTAGCACATGAAGTGCTGACTCGGATTTCTACTTGGCTGGTGAAAGATGACTAGGGAATCTTCAGGGTATGGAAGGCCCACGATCAGTGCTCGGTGACCAAAGATCCAAAAGTGCGTGGCTCCGAACAGAGATGTCGCCCTTGTGCTCCAACTGTCGGCCTCGATCTGTTAGATCGGTGTTCTCCCTGTTGGTTTTGTACAGAGGACAAATAATGCCTTCCAGTACTGTAAAACTAGAAGACACATTGGAGGAATTGGAAAGTTTTGGGTCTATAATCAAATGCATTGAGCAATCGTCTCTGGAATGTTACAGATCTGGCATGCCTGAGAACGAGCTTCCCAACTCACATCTCTGTGCACGATAGGTGAGAAAGCATGATCTGCTTATTAGACTTATTTGGAGAGATATGTAAGGTATAACTAGACAGCATTATTAGAGGTCACAGCACTTCGTTCCTCGAAGAGCAGTGGTTTTCAAAATCCCTTCTACTCCCACGGAAGGTCTGTTCGGTTGTCCGCGGACCACAGATTGAGAACGCTTTGAACTCCCGCGCATCTCAGAACCATTTCTAAGTAGCACAATGGTAGTGACCCGGCCATAGGCGGTCTAGGCACTATACACTAGGCGATAACGTTGCGGCAAGTGGGGCATGCAGTAGATGGCACGCTACCTACTAGCTGGTGGCGGGCCACTAGTTCTTCCCACAATGTGGCTGTCGCTCCCCTATTGCGTGTTACATGGCGTGATCCAGTTGCAGTACCAAGAGTCTCCGCTAGATGGCAGCTATGTTACCTGCAACCTTCAAATGCAATTAAGTACCAGTCTTCATGATATATCAAAATAGCTTCCACCCCTCTTTCCTCTTCTCATTGTGCAGTTTATGAACAGATATGAGGAAAGCGTGGGACAATGATGTTTTGATTGCAATGTTTAACTCAGGGAATTATCAATTCCTGATATTAAGTATAGGAATGCAGAAGTGTACGGGAATAGGAAAGGGTAGAGTGCCTCCACCGTACATACCGCGTCAAGGGACATCAAGAAGGCCTTCAATGAGACCCAATGACAAGATCCCAAAAGGACCGATTCAGCCAACCTCATCCATACAGTGGCCTCTAAAGGGACTCCGGTTCAGTTTTGCCCCGGACCTCTGGAAACCTCTGGCGGACCTGGCTAATACACCACACAAGAGCCATGGAAGATGGCGAGCCAATCCTGGCGAGTGGGACATGCAGTGGGCCACCAGCTCTCCTCCCTCAACGTAGCTGGTGGCCCACCATCTATGTGCCACTTGGGATGATCCCTCACCAACGATCAAGTTTGACAATCTACTGTCCAGTTACTTTCTCCTCATGGTGATACAGAGGAGCACCGTAATAACATGATTATTTGCGCAGTATAGCACGTATATATCCCATATGGTAGAATCACATTTGGCATTTTGAACATTGCGTGAACATTGAATGTTCGCTCAATGTTGTCCCGTCGGCATATTTACGCCAGGCCAATGGTGAGCAATGGGTGGCATGCTGCTTTGAACCAACGTAGGTCCCACACATCTTCGCTATCTGGGATATATTTAATCCAGATATTTTTTTTTTCGTAGCTGCCACTGGTCATGGGAGCCACTGGCCTGGCTGCCACATGCGTCAAATTTTAGGGACTTTTAACCCTCTTAGTGCCACGCTTTCCGATGAGGGACATGCAAAAAATACCACGCCTGTTTAGGTAAAGGTCTACCATGCTCTAGTGGTGTGCCTAACACTGCTCTCTGTCAGCCCTGTAAGGAACCAGCACCGAGAAAATTTCGCATCCAAAATATCGGTCCATGGCACTGAGAGGGTTAGAGGGGCTAAGAGTAACGGGGGAAGGGAGGGGGAGGGAGGGAGGGGGGAGGGGGGGGAGGGGGGAACGTTAAATCGGCACTGACGATTTCTTTTCGCGATTCTCACTCACAGCCGACTGGAATATGGGCCCACGTGGCCTACATTCATCCAATTTGTGGATGAACTGTCGATCGGGTTCATCCTATTCAAGGTCCGCGACCGATTCGGATTCGTTGGCCTCCGTTTCGGCAGGGAGGGCATCGAGAGCATCGAGAGCATCGAATTCGTGCAGTCCGCGAGTAAAAGCGATCGCGGAGAGTCGAGAGGCCCTGTCGCGAAAGCGACGAAAGGGAGAGCGAGGACTTTCGCGCGAGATGTTCGGACTCCATTCACTCGAGAAGTGAGACCCATGTGAGACCATGTGAGACTCATGTGAGACTCATGTGAGACCCATGTTGCTGGATTGCTTCTTCCAAATTAAGGGAAAAACCTTCGTGTGTCTACCCCGACCTTCATCGCCCTTCAGCCGCCCTTCAATCGACCTTTCTCAAAGGCATTTTGCGATAACGTTATCTTTGGCAGCCTCCTAAATGATTTACGGTCTGCAAGTACCTCAGGTACTCGCAGTACCTCGGGCCACAACGCGCTTCATCCACCTGGATCCCAGTCACGATTTTCCCACAGATTCTCCTCGGAGAAGAAAGAGACGGATCGATCCCCCTGGAGGAACCAGGATCCACCTGGAACTTCGTTCCAGGACTCCATCGCAATTTGGTCACAATTTGAGTGGCATCGCTGAGTTTCTCCTGCGTTTATTTTTTTCCCTCATGTTTTTTTTTTTCCATGAATATTTTTCCATCTTGAAAGTTGGTCGGAGTCTTTCCAGCAGCGATGTAGCGTTTTAGGCTGAAATAAATAAATAAATAATTAATTAATTAAATATGCCAAAAAAATATATTTCGAAACTTGAGAGAAAAAAAAATTAAAATTCGGGGAAAATCCTGATTTTCGGCCTCATCAGCTGCATTTATAATAAAAAAATAATAACCTATTCAAATTGATTTATTTGCGGCATCGTTTTTATAAATCGGCAATGGCAAGGAAAACCCCTGAAAATTGCATATTGCAAATCTGCGAGGATGTTGCAAAAAAAAATTCCGAAATTCATTGCAACTAGCCCAATATTGCAACTTTAATTGCAACTTTAATTCGTACCAATATTGAATTAAGTGGTACGAATTAAATTTTGGACCTTCTCAGAATTTGCCAATTTCATCTCTTTAAAATTTTTTTTTTTTTTAAGTTGTGAGATTTCAAATGAGAAATTCTGCAAATCAGCTTCTGATCAGGTAATAGCTAAATTTCGCGCAAAAAAATTTCCTTGTTGGAAAACGGAAAATTAGCACTGAGAATTGGCAGCGAGAAATTCGAGCCTCCACAGCGGCTTAAATATTAAAATATTAAAATTACAGCGACTTTTTCTGCCTGTCAATTTGCATCATGCCGATTCATCACGCTCGGGCGACCGACGATAATTGGATGACGTCACCTGCACGCGCTCCCAGGGGGAGGGCGGTGACGTCATCCATCTCAATTTACGGTCATGACTCCATCTGGACCGTGCCAGAAATGAAAATTGGGCGGAAACGATGAGAAATCAACAATTAAACGTCACCTGCCCCGAAGTCGAGAAAATTTCGCGAATTTTTTTCCTGATTTCGCGATTTTCATGCGTTTCCACGAATCAACTTCTGCGAGTGACGTCATCTAATCCTGCTAATGGCTTGTAATGTTGACATTCTGCTGAGGGCTTTCGTGTTGACAGCGGTAAAATAAAGCCGTATGCTCCCTTCGTGCGTGTGAGCTGCGTGTTATCAGCGCAAACAAAATTTTTTGCAGGCGTGCAAACTTCGACCTGTGAGAAGGTATACGCCTGGACGGCGAACCACGAAGTTTGTAGCAAAAGAAAAAAAAATAAATGAAAAATAAATGAAAAATAAATGAAAAGGTAAAAATTGGATTTTAAAATAGCGAAAATTGCAGAACTGTGAAAACCATCGAATCGAACCGAAAGAGTTACCGAATCCACCGTGAGCCAAATTGTCCGAAAACGATTCTCGCCGATTCCGAAAAATCGCGCACCAGTCGGTTTGATTGCATGAAGCAATATCGCGGGAAGAGCGGAGGGAGCGGACCATCTGCGACGAACAGCATCACTCGCATGGGGGGAGGGGAGGGGAGGGGAGGGGAGGGGGGAGACGTCGAACTCAAATTGTGACCAAATTGCGATGGAGTCCTGGAACGAAGTTCCAGGTGGATCCTGGTTCCTCCAGGGGGAGGGGAGGGGAGGGGAGGGGAGGGGGGAGACGTCGATAGGAATGACCAGGTGAGACGGGCTGCGATTGGCTGGGGGGGATGGTGACGTCACCGAGGCCCGTCCCCTCCCCGCACACAGAAGGACGACATCATTGATCAATGAACGGGAGAGAGAATGGGCCAGGTGTGCACGCAGTCTGCCTTCGGTGCTCGGCCCGGGAAGCGGTTCGCTCGCGCCGTGAGTTTTTTTTCCAAACCCTATATTAGCGTTAATTGTGTGCGTGGATGTGATTTTCATCGTCACGACTCATTCTGAGGGAGTTTCTGCCTGATTTCCGTGGAGGGGTTTCCTCCCCTCGCGGTCGAATCGGCGAGGATTTGACGATTTTTGTTTCTCGCAAGACGGATCCGATGCTGCCGATTTTTTATTATTATTTCCCATTCTGCAATCTTTTTTTTTTAAGTGTCGAATTGCAGTTTGGACCAAATTGACTTCGGGCAGAAACTCCCTTTCACCCATCACACCCCGTTGTCGACCTCCCCCGAGTGAATGCGACCGAGTGCGTCTGAGAGCGACTGAGTGCGTCTGAGAGCGACTGAGTGCGTCTGTGTGCATGCATGAGCTCGGCCGTTCCGAGAACGAGGCCGATAGGGGCGGGTGGCCCACTTGATAACGATCCACCATGGGGGTCGAGAACGACAGGTGGGGTTACAGGTTACCGGGGAAGGGTTTAAACGTTCAACATGTCAATTTAAATGTGGTTTCCGCATCAGGACGCGTTCACGGGCTAAGAGCTTCCTGCGACTTGTGGAAGGGCTTAGAGGGGCCTGTACGGGGCCTAAAGGGGCCTGTAAAGGGTGTAATGGGATCTGTAAAGGGGCTATACGTCCCAGTGAAGAAGAATATTTCCAGGTGATCGAGACCGATCGGTTTAGAGAGGCGATGGTGGAAGAAGACGGCGGGGACTTGCAGAGCCTGGAATGGCTCCAAGAGAAGAACCTGCTGCAAGAGATCATCCCGACACCGCCGGCGTCGCCCGGATCGGACCGGCGCCGACCGGAGGCGAAGCGGAAGCGGAGCGTCACCGCCTGGTACCTGGAGGAGGTGGAGCGGCGGGGCATGGACTACAAGGCGAATCCGGAGAAGCCGCCGTACAGTTATGCGACGCTGATCATCATGGCCATGAAGGCGAACGCCCACAGGATGACGCTGTCTGCGGTCTATCAGTGGATCCGGGAGAATTTTCTGTACTATCAGAACGCGGATCCGAGCTGGCAGGTCCGACATAGATTCCCCGGAACCGGAACCGGAACCGGACGATGCCGTAACGTTACTCTCCGATTCTTTCTAGAATTCCATCCGCCACAATCTCTCCCTGAACAAGTGCTTCACGAAGGTGCCCCGCGGGAAGGGAGAGCAAGGGAAAGGCGGCTTCTGGCAGCTGGACTCCAGGCACGTGGACTCGTACCTGGAGGGACTGCAGAAGAAGAAAGGCCGCAAGGACACGCCCCCTTCCTCGTCCTCGACCAAGTCTCGAAACCGAAAGAACCGCAGCCGCAAGAAGAAAGACCCGCACACCTACCACCTCCCCGCCCCCCTCATGTACCCCCACGTGGAGGCGCTGACCCAGCTCATCCAGCCCCAAGAGAGCCTCTCGGAGGGCTCCATCCCCGACGCCTGGATGGAGGGCGACGGGATGGGGGACGTGGTGGCGAGCTGGTCGAAACTGGAGGGCGGGTGGAGCCCGGCCTCCCTCGACATGGACACCTCCTGTTTCGACCTGGACGACGATCCGTTCCAGAGCCTCAATTTCATGGATCACATGGATCATCTCATCATGCCCGACCCCTAGCTCTCGGATCGGCTCTACCTCTGCGCTCATCAATGATTCATTGACGAAATATTGTGATCGATGAGGAAGGAGGGGGGGAGGAAAGGAGCCCGTACCGTGCCTGTATCGATCCCATTGATCCTCACGCGCCCCGTCATGCCGGCCATTATGCATTTCCTCTCTTTCTCTCTCTCTCTCTTTCTTTCTCTTTTCTGTATGACCGAGTTCCGTCCCGAGACCGATTCCGTCCGCCAGTGGTGATGATATCTTCACTTATTTTTCCTGGATCTCATGTGTGTGATAGTTGCTCAAATCCAGATGCACATGATCGATTTATCATGAGGCAAAAAAAGACTCGAGACAATAAAGTCTCTCTCCGGAGTGATTCCGCTTTTCTCATTTCCTGCACGGAAGATCTCGATTAACGCTCGTTGAGGTCTCGATTCGGCGGGAAATCGCGCTCAACGCAGATGGCGCCGCCGGGACTACTTGACACTTGACAAATTCAGACGGTGAATAACGCGACTGTGCTGACATCTGGCGGGTTTTGGAGCGATTTGATACATTTACTGCTTGGTCTACTTCAAGCCCCCCCAAAAAAATCCGAACCAGAAAAAAGAAGTGAGAAACTTTTATTTCAATTTTTCTTAGTTGAAAGTACGTTTTCTAGAAATAAAATAAAATAAAATGTTCAGAATTCTTATTTTTTTGCGTTCTGGGCCATCGCTACAAGGTCCCGTATGAGTTACCAATTCAACAGCCCTTACAGCAGGTTCCTCCTAATTTCAGCAAGCAGTGCAACAATTATGCAATACATTATTTTGCAATAACAATGGAACAATAATACTCAAAACCAAAAAAAAAACTCGGTTGAACCCAACCCAACAGAAAACAAAAGCAACACAGCTGCGAAACGCACGCGATCGAAGTCGAGCCATTATTCCCCAATCACGAGATAATTGCTGCGTTCATTCACGATCCACGCCACGGGGAAAACGTCACGCATGACGGCCGGGCGTGCGACCCGGAGCAGGTGGCTTCGTGACGTCACGACCCCTGATTGACCCGGTCTGTTTAAAAGGCGACCGAGTCGGATTGATGGTTTCACTGCGTTGAGGCGAATCGTTCGTGGCATGATTGATGACATCGCGAGTTGATAAGCGTAGGGCAAGCTTTGTCTAACGTGTGATGAATGCATCAGGTTGATGCATGAAGCCGATGCATCAGGCATTCTCACATTTCCCATTTTGCATGCTCAAAAAATGGCGAGTAGCGAAGCTAAAGGGAAGAAGAAAAGGAAACTGACGTCATCCGCGGAATCCTCTCATTCCTCGGACAATCGACAAGTTTTCCTTTCATAGCGTTCATCTGAAGGTGAAACTCTAATCGATTTCGCGACAATTTACGCGAAATGGCTCTTCGTCTCGCAGTTTCGATCGGCGTGCCACGGAGAAAGAGACTTTCCGAGAGGACAGAGAGAGCATTCAGATGAGGGCTGAAAACGCCTTTTTCTTCAGCTTCACTGTGACGCAATCCCCAAGCGGAACCGGCTTAGCAAGAACCGACGAATGCGCTAATTGGGTCGCGGATGACTCGGCGAATGGCACCGCGAATGCAGCCGACGGTTTGAAGGAGCCCGGCGAATTAATCGACATCGACCGACGACTCGGCACGCAAGGTCGACAGCAAATAAGCTGCACTTAGAGAAGACACCGGGGAACCCCAGGGGACTCCAAGGGACTCCAGGGGACTCCAGGGGACTCCAGGGGACTCCAGGGGACCACGTCGATGTGGCTGGCCTCAATCGGACGATCAGAGCGACCCGACCGACTTTTCCATTCCATTCGCGTTCGATCGCCGAGTCGGACGAGCGGAGAGAAACGCGCGATCCAAAACGGCATCTGCAGTAACGTCGTCTGCACCTCGGCCGTCCACACGAAAATGACCCTTACGAGCAAGAACCCGCAACGACCACGACTCGACGGGGTCCCACCGCCTCCCTTTCCCTCCCGTCATTCGCATCCCGACCTCGACCAGCTCAAGACGCGAGCCTCCGGGGCTCCTCTCCAGACAAAATTTGAAGTATTGGACAGTAGAAATTCGACTTTCCGAACGTCATTTATACGTTAGGTAATACGAAAAAATTAACTAGGGTACCAGCCCAAATATATTTAATTTCTTTGCCAACCGTCGACACCTCTTTAACGGGATGATACCATTTAATGAAAAGTGAATGAAAATTCACGAGCAATGAGGTTTTCGGCGAGCAGCAAACAAAAGAATCGTCGTACATGGACAAATGCTACAAAGGTTCAAAGGACAAAATGGAGAAAGTACGTTCGGTCTAAATGCCCCTTTGTCTTTAAATATACCGACAGTCGTCGCGAAATCTGAGACGTCAAACATGTTCATGTGGTTGCGAGGAGGAGGGAAAGCGCCACCTATCGGCGATGTAGCGATAATGTCCTGCACGGTGACGACGGATGTCGAAAGAATAATTAAGAATCGCATCCCAATCCCAATCAAATGTTCCTTCTCTGAATATTGGACTTACATGGGAATCGATTTTCTATAGATTTCAATGATTGCGGTATCCGGAAAATTTTTTTTTTCCTCCCACATGAAGAAATCAGCCAGAAAAACGACAGAAAAATCATTCGAATAAATAAATCATTAGTCGCTAATAGAAACTATGTACAGAAGAAATTAATAACAAATCAGACAGCGTATTTACGCAACCTCATTCCCAATGAACCGCGAAAAAGCCCCTCCCCCCCCTCCCGCCCCCAACACCAGAACCCAACCGAACGTTGGAAGTACTCGAGAGCCCTCGCGAGAAAAACCCCACGAGACGGCGACGCCCGGCGCATTTCCTCCTTGCCGCCGTCACGAGCGGGTGAATCATCGCCGTCTCAGAAAGGCTGCGGGATGGGCTGGGGTGACCTTCGTGGGATTGGAGGGTCCGGGCAGGGTTCTCCTCGTTTTTTCCTTGCCGCGCAGGCTTCTACTCGCCGATGATCCTAGACGGCGAACCACGTGTCGGGGATCGATCCCTCGGAAGTCACGAAACGCGTCTTAATTTGCGAGGGAGCACAAATGAGGGGTGTCGCGAGAGGGGTCGCGAGGGGGGTCGCCCTCGACCCGTTTCCATTCCTCGATGGGGCGAGGACGACTCGATCGATCGCCCCGAACGTGTCGCTGCATCGCGGACGAAAATGTCGGAAAAAAACTCCGGGGAGAAATGGCTGATGGTTAGGGCCGTGCCATCGCGATCGATGTGAGAGCCTCTTTGAGGCCTTCGGGACCGGGGGAGCGGTTCGCATGAGAGCGTCGTCTCAATCGGCATCATGCGCTCCCTTAATCGATGGTAATTAATTAATTAATTTCTATTCCCTGGTCACGGAGCTCCGAACATGCGATATTTTCGCGATGTCCGCGAACCTGTCGGAAATCGGAAATGGCACCGATCTCATCGCGACACGGCGACACTCCCACCCGCTCCCACGACATGTATCATGTATGCATCATGCATGTATCATGAATGCATCAGAACGGGGGAGTGGGGATGCATCAGAGCGAAAGAGTTCGATGCGGAAACACTTGGGAGCTCCGTGTAGCGTCTTTCTACTAATTATTAACGTCGATTCACCTTATTTACCTGTCGCTTACCTGTGATCAAACAGAATACTTTTTTGTTATTCATTAGTAGAGTCCTGCCCGGCTCAATTTTCTCACCTCGTGATGCCCTGATGTCGAACATAAAAAAACGCTATTGAACTGAAATGAAACAAATAGAAATATAAGTCGAGAAATGTTCCATCTCTACATGCAAATGGTGCAGAGATGGAATGTGCAACATTTCATATTCCTTTCCTTCCGTGTTGGCAACCGCTTGTCAGACGGCAAAGGCTTGAGCGAAACCGCTGCTAGCACCGAAACTAATGCTTATGTAGTGTGTCCTTATCTGTTAAACTTCTGCATTATGTCAGCTACAACGTTTGGATTGCATTGGAAGGGAGAGAGGGTGTGGGGACAAGGGGGAGAGGGGCAAGGGGGGAGATGGGGGCAAGGGGGGAGATGGGGGCAAGGGGGGGGGGGGGGGGGGATCCTGACTACGCCTGGGGTGATTTTTCATAGGGTCAATACAATTCATGGGGCCTTTTTCCAGCGGGATGGTATCAAATGATGGAGTCCATGCTCATCCATTGCCCAGTCGAGTTCGATAGGACTTCGCCAAGAACACTGATTAGGCTGATTAGGCCTCGTTACGAGGCGCGAACTTGAATTGTGAGGGTGAGGATCACGTCGCACTTTCGTTGTTGGCCTAGAAGGCGTTGGCTCTGGCCTCTTTCGTTTACTCTCGTCGGTCCGACCGGACGGAGACGGAAGGGGAAAACCGAATTCTTTAGCTCATTAAGTCCCGGGCCTTTTTTAATGACGCAAACGAGCCGCATCGTTTCATCGAGCGACTTTTTCGGCTTGGGAGACCACCCGTCCCATCTTCCTCGGACTTCTCCCGCCACCCCCCACCGCGTGATTCCTCGTTTCCCGTCAAATCCCCCCCCATCTCCCTCGATATAACAAATCCCCTCGATAACTCCGCGCATTATTCACCGCGACATGCAAGCTCACCCATCGCCGTCTGCATCGGCGCGTGCTCGAAGCCACCGCGGTTGTCAATGTCATCCGCCTGAAACCTGAACGCCACTGATTCCAGCCGTCTCTTCATTTCCCCACACCCGCTCCTTATTTATAAACGGGGCACTCTCCTCCCAAGAGAGCAAGAGAGACTCGAAGGACTCGCTTCGCTCCAAAGCGGCACCTGCCGATAGAAGTGGGAAGGAGCGGAAGCACGCGCCTGCCGACAGATGGCAGCACGGCTGCGATCGCGGTTGTCAGGCTGTTTGTCGTCGGGCGTTCACGTTTCAGGATTCGAATCGTCCGGCGACGTTCGGGTGAAGCTGCTGCGGCACGCGTGAGAGGATTCCGTCGTGGCTCTGGAATCTCTCGTTTCTTGGCAAGGGTTGAAACGACGAAAAGTTTGAGGGGATTCTCGTCTTTGTACTCGAAAGAATGCGAACGTCTCATGGTGAATTAGCACAAAGAAGGAAACTGAGGGCGAGGGAAAGTTCCCGCGCTTTCTAGGCTCTATCCCCCCCGACTCGCATTTGCCTATCTAATCTCTCTCGGGACGGCCGATTCCGTTACAGCGTTGGCAAAGAAACGCAACGGAGCAATCGGCATCGCGATGCCATTGTCCCGAACGCTGGGACCCAGCCCAACACCGTCGATAAGGTTGTGTAACGTATCCGGGAACAGTGTGTGCAAGCTCTCGCGTGAGCCTCGTGCCCATCGGTTTCCCTGATAGTCGATCAATATCACTGTCAATGTCAAGGTCAATGTCACTAGCTTGACAGCTGAAGGCCGAAAGGGTCGGTAACGCCTTCTAAGCTAAGAATCGATGCGGAAAGTGGTCCTCACCCGAAGAACTTCTCATCCTCTCGGTTCAAGTTTTCGTTTCGGCCGCAACTGCGAGTACTTTCTGATAGGCGAATCCACGAGCATGCACATCACCCGCTGACGTCCCGTAGAAAACGACGCAGAGTGACTGGAAAAACCTGACGTTGCAGTGGAAGGGGGGGGGGGATCCTCACTGTCGCTGTGCGTGTTGCCGCGCGAGGCCTCATGGCGAGGGGTGAGTGAGGTCTTGCTTCGTGTGTCATCAGTTTGCTGTCGCCGTCTGCACCTCGGTCCTCGTTTCATTTTCTTGCTCTTCGTCTTTCCTCACCCTCATCGGGAATGTTTTTTTTTTTTGCAGTTCTTCCAAGAAGTACTGTACGGGAACAGTGCTTCCCTTTGTTCTCGCTTGCTTCCTTCAATGTATACTAACTTGTGCATCAAGGAAAGTTTTTGACGCGTCTTTACACCTTTTTACCGATTCGCAAACTTCTATTATCAATGGTGTTTTATACTAAAGGTTCGTCTGCTTTTATTTCTGTTTCCTTTTCTTTTTCGTTGTGTTTTGTGTTACGAGTGTAATCATGAACCTACTACTTGTTTCAGATATTAATTTGCAGTTGTTCTTCACCTCTCCATCACAGTAAACTCATAATCAGCCTTCGTGAATAACTCCGCAGAGTTGACCGAAAACGTTTCCGACTTGAATGAAATCTTGGAATTTCCCGCGATGACAGCACAAATACCAGAAAAACTGCAAAGGGCATGCGACAACCGTGGAGAATGATGGAGGTAAAATGGCGGACATTATGTCGCGGCCTGCACGCACGGACCTCGCCTAACCGGGAAAATTGCTGTTGGAAGCCGGGAGGAAGTGATTGCAGTATTAAACTGTAGTTAATTAGGCTTATGCCTATAATAAGCCTAAGTTATGTTAGGCGCAGACCGATCCAAATTCAGAGCTAGGTAGGCCCAACTTGTGTCTTGACGGTGGATTTCAGTGAACCCTAACGCTAGACCCTAAATCGTCATAGCTCCATCTGCCATTTTTCATGAATTGTGCGATTTGGTGGTGGTGCCTTTGGATGTGGTGCACGTTTGCAGAATGAATCATTAGCATGTAGCCCTTCCCTTTTCTTTTTATCATTAATTTCATTACTGTTAAAAGTGATTTTCGATTGATAGCATCCCTTCTGTGGCAGAAGCAAGTGGAACAGCATCACTCCGCTCTCACTTAAGTCTCTGGTTTCACGAGAACAGTTATTTTGAGACAGCAAATGCCGCTCAATTATACCTCATGTGGTGCCATTCAGATGGGTGTGAGGAGAGTGCAATCAATTAAAAATCACAGTATTAACAATGTCAATGGACTTGGTAAAAATAGTTGAATGATTTGACACTCCCACAAGGGAGGTTGAACTAGCCTTAGGCCACATAAAGCAAAAGTCAAGTTAAGCTCTAGTTGAACTAGCAGCAGTGCTGGTTTTTTTTCTCAATGATTCCTATTATTTCAATGTTTTGGGTATTGATTTTTATTCTCCCTACCCCTCTTTCCTGGTGCTGTTGCCAGTGTATGAGAGACTCTAAGTAAGCATAATTATTGTCTTTGGGGATGAGACAGGGCCAGATTAAGGGGGGGGGGGGGCAAAGGAGCTATTGCCCTGGGGGCCCCCAAAGGAAATTAACATTAAGTTTTGTGTAAAGGAGCAAGGGGGGGGAGGGAGCCTTGAGAATCCCCTTGGCCTTGTAACTTCTTAATCCAGCCATGTGATAGGGTATATTTCTTGAGTTGGGCCTGTAGAGTGATGTTGCTTTCTGAGTAAAGTGAGCTACTATTTCAAAACTTGGAATACCTAGTCTATAGAAATGTATCTAGCACATATGAGGAACAGGAGTTTCCATCTAAACAGACTGGGCTGTCAGACAGTGAAGTTGTATTTGCTCAGAAAAGGATGTTGCTCTTTGTGCTTCTGTCATTATCTCCAACCCAACTGACCCATCATCCTTCAAAATAGGTTGTCTTTCTCATTCTTTGGCCTTTAACACCGAACCGGAGGGGGAAAATAGCAGTGAACTAACTGTGCCTGTGCAGGTCAGTCCTCGGACCGACCCATGACCCAAGTACAATGCATGCCTGGGAAGGCCATGCCAAGGCTAGCAGATGGAAGGGCCTGGGCAGGGCACATGGCATGACTGCTCCAGGATGCTAACAGAGCGTAACTATTGTATCTACTCATTAATATTATGCACTCATACCTCAACTCACTCAGCTGAAACTGATATCACTGTGATCTACTTATAAAGTACTATCATTTGATTTATCTCTTGCACCATTCGGCTGGTGGTCCACTACGGTACTATATCCAGAAGATCAATGCTGCTTTAAACTTCGGGTGTGAATAGGACTTGTGATATTTTTTTTCCTTCACCCTAGAGCAGGGGTGCCCAACCTACAGCCCGTGGGCTGGATCCAGCCCATGGTGACATTTCATCCGGCCTGCGGTGCCTCCTGAAAATTATTGTAAATGTAATATGGATATTTAAAATATAGTTGTAGTGGCCAATAGGAGGTCCCTTAAGGGGCAATGCAGCCCTGTTGGGCAAAAAGGTTGGCCACCCCTGCCTTAGAGAGATTTGTAACAATGACCACCTATCAACATGGAGCAATTATAGGAGCAGCAAATTTCAACAGACTACTCTTAAAGAGTTGAGGGACTGATAATAGAGCCTTTGTTAATTACTATAATTAATGACTCAGCACTGCTTTGCTATTAGCTTAGTCATCTCTTGACTACCTTACCATTTCCACTTATTCATGGCTTCTTTTAGAACCTAGCTTGTTTAGACTTGGAGATTCTATCAAGTTCTCATCATGTATTGGTAACATTTTCTGTAGATTTGTTAAGAATTCAATATAAAAAGAAGAAATCTTTTATAAACTTGGTCCACTTCATAGTGCTCTTGTACTTCCGTGTCTGTGGGATAGCATAATACTTTTTTTTCTTCAAGGAAGTGGGTGACATTGTTAGTGACTTTGTAATTAGTTTTTTCCTCATATCAATAAATAGCATTGCTTTAGGTGTATCTTTGCATGTACAGTGAGTGTTCAAAGTTCACAGCTTAGGTGCACAATAGCACCTGATGGTTTACCTTAGGGTTGTGGCCATATCTTAATATGTACTGTTCATTCTATCTAGCCTATGAAACCTGTGGACTTTTCCTCCTTGAATTCAGCAAGTCTCAACCTACTTATTGAACCTTGTAGATTGTGTCCATTTCTTGAATGTTCAAGTTCTAGTTCTTGGCATAATGAGCTTCAGGGGAAGAAGAGGGTATTACAATAATTGGGGAGAGTATCCCAGGTCAAATTACCGACCAAGATCAAGAGGCAGGCCATACATGGGGAGGTATCAAGATTGGGAGAGTTCTCGAAGGCGCTATGATACAAGGTGAGAATGCTTGCATCTGGTTTGAGTACCTTTTGCTTACAGCTTGATTAGTTGATACTGTTGACTGTAGTGCCTTGCAGTGAGGTTTTCATCAGATCCCAGAAGTAGTTCTCTGCGAGGGAACCAGGGCAACCTTAAAATAGTGATGAAAGTGGAAATGTTTATATGTCTACTTATCAATAGCATTTTGAGTTAAAATGTTGCATGTTATACCCTGTGTGCTTGGATATAGCTGGTTTAATGGTATCTCACCTTTTCTCTACTCTTGTAGCCATCATAGCCACGGAACAAGGGATGAACTCTTATCGGGTTTGTCAGAAGAGCATAGGGTTGCTTTGGCCAATGATATCCTTGATGCTGTTCTTCGTAAATCTGTGAGTTACTTTATGCCTTCATCCTTTGCTACCATAATTACAGCCCTATGCTTTTTTTTGTGCTTACTTTAAATAGCTTGAAGGTCCTGGTTTAGGAGGCCTTGGACACTCCAAGTCTGAAACATTGTTCATAGCTATCTGCTTCATTCAAAGTGAAGTTTTTCTCATCATAGATGGCTTTCACAATGACTTTCAACAGTCCTAAATATGGTCCAGTGGGGCCTAGGAGCACATGCTTCCCTTATGGCCACTTGTGGATCATTGAGTTGGGGCGATGGAATTCTGTTGGTTGGAAACATAGATCCTGCACCTTCTGCTATTGCTACTGACTGCTGCTCATGCCTTTGCCTCCATGGTCACACCCCTTTTTTTTTTTTAGTTTTTGATTTTGCAGAGTGAGTGGGAGCTGGGAACACCAACACTTGTAGAATCCTTTGGTTGGTTAGAATTAACACGAAGTCTAAAGGCATCTTGGACTTTCTTCAATTGCATTAAAGTAGAGCAAGACTGTACTTCCCATGTAAAGGGGAGTGGAAATTATGAGCAGTCCTATTGGTCTTGGGTTACATTGGATCATGTTGAAAGTTAGTAGCAATTGTGAACATGCCATCAGTCTTAATTAAGAGGAGGTGTGGGGTGTCAGTATCAGTGTCCCAATGCTTCCTTCCTTTCCAAACTGGTACACTTGTCTTAAATTGGGACCAGCTAGCCATGCATTAATTGCATGCCATTCTCTGGATTACTCTGTAAGACTCTTTTCATGTGGATAATTATGGAATCTTTTGACTTGTGTGTAAGTCTTGAGTGATGTAGGCCTTTGGAGAACCTTAAAAACAACATCATACATTATTGTTGCTTCTGCAGCTAATGCAAATTGAACATTTTATTTTAATTTTCAAGGAGAGAATTTAGAAGCATCAAAATGCAATAGAATATCGCCCCTCTGAACAATACCTTCCACAGCTGCATTTGCTATGAATTTACTGACATTCCCCAAGTGATTTGCTATTTTGAGTTTCCATTTCTGTCAGATCAAAGCAGTAAAGGAATAAATCAGGATTTTATGGGGGGGGGGGGGGAGGGACATGTCCAAGCATGAAAGCTAATCCCCATGTCTGTTTGATCCCAAAAAAAAGTCCAGTGTCTGTATAGGTTACTTTCATGCAAGCCCTTCCATGTATGTTAATCTGCTCTATGAAAGAGAGTCCTAAGCTGGAATATCATGGATTCAATCTTTACTCCATGGATCTTGGTTAAGTAGTCTTAGCTTGTAATTTCAAACTTTATCAGTTGGCATGGTGTGCAAAGTTTTCAAGCTTGAGTGGTTTTGCAAACCAATCTTTCATAATTATGTGGAATTTGATTTTTCTTATCAAAGTAAATGAAAATACTTATGATGATCAAGTGTTAATCCAAGTTCCAAAGGATGGAATATCAGTTGAGAATGATTCCTTGTTTTTGCACTGAGGCATTATGAGACTGAGGCATTATGAGACACAATCAGGAATCGTTGCAAGGCTAATTTACTTTGATATTCATAGGGTGGATATCCCTGGTATACACTATACTCCAATGAGTTTTGGGACATTCCCACTCCAATGTTACAGACCATTTTTGCTATTTGCATGATGGTTGCATGGAATGTACAGTGCAGGATTCAAAACATGTACTTACTGCAGGATCTCATGTTGTTGCAAGGAGACATGTTGTATACAGCTGATGGACTTTCAACAGAGAATGAGCATTGGGGGCCACATCAAGTGGAGATCCATTCACAAAGTTGCAGAGCTGTTACCTGAAAGCCAATTGTAGATAATGATATGGTGACACGGAAGTCAAATGTTGCCTAACCAATTGCTTTTTGCTCTTGTCAATGTATGAATATTACCTTGAGAGACAGAAGAACATTCAAATGGACAATGAAACAATAGGTTAAAGATGTAACAGGCTTTTCAAGAAGCTGCTAGAAAATGTGTGAATTTGGGTTGAAAATACATGGTGAGATAACAGTATGTTGTCATAAACAAAACAACTACATAATACTCAAGCAATTTTTTGATGCCTCACCCTGTTTATTCATGAGCATGGGTATGGTGGTCAAGGAACAGCATGCTAATATTTACATAATTTGGAGTGTATTTGGTCTTTATAGTGCAAGGACATTGTGTCCCAAAATTTGCAGGAGTATAGCACATAGACCTACTGGGGCAATGGCTCTGTAACTTGCATAATGTGAACTAAAGTGAATAAAGTTGGAACCATTTCAATTGTGTAAATTATGAACAATTAGGTGTTTACACTCGTATACCTCTATGGCCTGTAGAAAAGTGTAAGCATAAGCATAGATGTTAGTTAGCATTGTTTGGCTAGCACAATTTCTGTTTCTGTGAATTTTTGGAATCATTGCCACAGTTGTGGATACCTCATGCCTAACTGATAAATATTAAGAAAAATCCATTGGAAGGCAATTTTTGAGGCTTGCACTTAGACCAGACTCTTGTCTGACATCTGTCACAGTAGAAGTAAATTATCTATGCTGTTCCAGTTTAGTGCTGCAGGGCCAATAGAAATGAAGCTTGTGTATGCCACTTTCCGACCCACTCCTTCTCATTCTTTATGAATAGTGCAACAAAAGGGTAAGGATTGAGCAAAACTGAAAATCTTGGAAATGGTTCTCCATATTCCTGCATCAAACATGTAGCATTGCTTCTTGGGAAAGTTATTCATAAATAAGGTATTTAGCGCATAAAAATGTACATATTTCAAAGTTCTCCTATCTGTGAACATGTATGTTTATGATATATAGGCCTTGCATGACTGTAGCTGCATTGGGTGAGGAGATCAAAGGCTAGAATTGCAGGGAAAAAATCATGCATGCATGGATTACTAAGCAAAACACTTAGCATTTGAGAAGAAAATTTGTGTGACTTCCTCAGTTTTAGTAATGTCATTCTACAAGGAGAACTCTGAGCTAAGAAAAAGACTGGAGGTGGCACAGCCATAGCAGAGCATAGGAAAGCATTCTAGAACCTTAACTGAATCTGCTATCCTTAAAGGATGGAATGGAATAGTACCAAGGCATGTACTATGTGTTGATGGGGAAACGGAACTGGTACCCAAGGGATAAGAGGAGTTGCCCTTGAATTCCTAGCTATCACATTTGCCATTAATAACTTCAAACCTAACATTTGACCCATTTTTGATCCCAAGCATTTTTTTAAAATGTGACTGGCTTCATGCCCTTGGCTTACAGTGAACATTGAATAAGAAGTCACATTAGTTCCATCATTGACTCATGACTCCCCATGAAAACAGGCCTGGAACTTGAGGCCTGTTAGGCACCCACATACATGAGAGAGAGAAGGCTTGGGAAGGCTTCATGGGACTTTATGGTAATCAAGGAGAATGTTGGTTGTGGAATGGCTGTCTTTCATGTTAGCATTTTAAATGAAGAGGAAAGTCAGGGAATTCCCTTAGGAGGGAATGGAGAGAGGCCATCTTCCATTATACTTGGAATTTATCTTTCATATCTCATTGCTCCACCAGTCTTTTTCATAGCTCAGTGGAGGAGGGTCTTATGCAATGCACAGCATGGATCTCCTTCCATCTCCTCCCTTCAAGCATCCTTGAATCCCTTCCTTGCCTCTCCCCTTATCCTCCCCTCCCTCCATTAAAAAGAAATTTAAAAAAGATATTGCAAGATATTCAACAAAAAATTTGGGCATTGTTGAGGATCTGATACCAATAGTTTCACACCATGACTGAGTCTCAACTTTGCTTCCTTGAGGCTTCAGCTGAGGAACAAGGAAGATTGTGGGAAAAAGAGGGAAAAGAAAGCGAAAATCCCCCTGCTGGAATAGAAACCTCATCTGATCTTGGAAACAGAATGACCCCCAAAGGTGGTATTTGCAGGTCATGAATCTGACCTGTGTGAAGTAACCAATATAAGCACTCCAGAAGTACCTTAGTTTTTGAGGTCTGAGGGGGGAATTGAGGCTTGGGAAGGGTCTGTTCAAAGTATAGGTGTTGCTGCACCAAAAGATGCATGGATTCCATTTGCATTTCAGTCAGTTTCCTTCATGCTGAGAAGCTTTCATATTTGCTGAGCCATGACTTGCTTGCCTCATTGTCAAGATTATGGCAATGATTTGAACTGGATCTCAAAGGGAATGGAGTGCAACTTTGTACACTGTTGAACATTTCCTTCCTTTTTGCATAGACAGGAACCCAGAATGTTTGTAGAAATGAGTTATGGGATTCAGTTGGCACAGTTCTACCAGGAAGAAGAAGCTGTCCGATTTGAATTCTGTTGGTCAGCATTGCACCAGACGAAGATGGTCATATGCCCTTGTTGTTAATGACAGCAGATGGCATTCTGGTTCATAGATAGAAAGCTGCTCTAAGATCAGAAAAAAAGTGAAGATATGAACACAACTATTCACAATCATAGTCATGGAATTGAATACTGGATGTATTCTCATTGGTTGGCAGGCAGTTGGCTGATATTCTCATTGCTGGCAGGCATTTGATGGCATTATCTGAGTTTTGTTGAACATCATAGCAGACCAGAAGATGACGTGCATGTACTCCAGACTGCGCATGTTGTAGCTGAGGCCTGAATCATGCCTGTATACCCGTAGCGAGAGAGGCCGAGTCATCGTGAGGAAGGGTACTCTGGAAGAGGAAGCCGGGGAGGGAGTGGAAGATATTTTGGCAGTGAGTCTCGTTCTCGCAAACGCAGTCATCCATCCTCCGATTCTGAAGAGGATGGCTCTTTTGGGAGGAAGGCTGAGAAGGGAAGTGATAAGGGAGAATCTGATGATGAAAGTGGAGCTGCTAAGAAGAAAGAGAAGAAGCAGAAGAAACAGAAGAAAGACAAGAAAGAGAAGAAAGAGAAGAAGGAGAAAAAGGAGAAGAAAGAGATTGATGCTTCTAGGTAAGCTGCCACTGATGGAGAGAAAAATTTTCCCCTCCTCGATTTACTCTGAAAGCGAGCTGCCAATGCTGCTGATCCCCCGTTCGAAGACCTGCCAAATTCCATGGAATCTGCCTCATAAGACCTCCAGGATGGCATGGAGATCAGCTGCTCAAAGGGGAATGTTTCACCCTCATCCTTGAGGTTTTCAAAAGAAAGGAATCTATTTTCTTTTATTTATTTATTTGAAGCATCCCTCCTGCCTTTCTTGGAAAAATTGAAATATTTTTGTTTTCTATTAAGAAATGGAGAACTAATCTTTCCTCTACCTTAAATTGTTGAGACTGCCCTGCACTATCAGTTAAATGCCTATATTATTGTAGAGCTATTTTCATGCATTACCAGACCTATTATACAGGGCCAGAAAAACCAAGCGCTGCTCTTCAATAGTTTTATCAAAAGAAAAGAAAGCTGGAATCCTCCACTGAAGAACAATATTTTTAGTACTCCAACCATTTGACAATATCATTGAGAAGAGGTATTACATATGGCCTCAGAAGGCAACCAAATGTGACTGGTACTGATGCCATGTCCATAATCTTTGGAAAATAGCATCCAACACAGGATCTTTGCATGCAGATTCTTAAGCTGGTTTATCTGTTAACAGTTCTCTGAATTTTCCCCCAAGTGATTCATTGGAAAGCTGCAAATCACTGATGCTCATTAACCCCATTTCAGGTTTTATCTAGTATGAAATGTGCTAGTGCATGACAAGGACAGTTGCCTGATACTCATGAAATGTGGCTCCATGCCATTGGAAGACAAACATTTGTCAGAGAAGATGCCAGTCCTCAGGGAACCAATAGTTTGACCCTAGAATTAGCCTGATTTACTCCCTCATAATTATCCATCTAGTGAAACACTCTATAAAAAGTTTAATGGAATACCACCCAAAGTTAGATGATATCCCTCAAGTGGATATTTCTCAATGGGACTAGAGGTCAGTGGCTGTCATGTTTAACCCCTTTGACGTCATCCCAAGTACGTACTCATCATGTGGCTACGTACTTACCTGATTCAGGATGCTGCTGAAATATGTTAACAGCTGTTCAAAATAGTGAAAGCTATATTGGAGTTTTTTTTCACTGACTTTGGCAAAGAGTTGGTTTTTTAAAATATTTTTTTCTTCAGTGGATTCTAGCCCTTGCCTCCTGTAAGGAATTGATTGAAGCACAATGCTTGGTTTTTTTTTTTTGGACCCACCCTATGGAAAAGGTGGCAACTCTCCTGCTTTTAAAAAATAATTATTCTCAGTATTTTTTTCTTCATTGTTTTAAGATTAGGAAAACTTCATCTCACTTCTTTTGCATTATTAAGTCACCTTCCTTGTGTTAGCCTGCAGGAACCAAAATGCATATCTACAGGGTGTGAATGCTCAGTGCATCATCAGTAGTTACATCTCTGATAGTATAGTAATTTGGACTCATCTATTTACATTGCGGAAAACCACCCAGTTCCTATTCTTATCACTTGTGTATGCTCTCAGGCGTGCAGAAGAAGGCAACCAAAGTGATAACCATGACAAGAAGGACTCTTCCCGAGATGAAGCTTCTGGTCGAGACAAGGTGAGTCGTTTTTGTTTTGATGCAGTATGGTTGCAAAGATGATGCAGGTGAGAGTGTAAGGCCTAATTCACACTACTATCAGACAGAGGGAAAGAAAGATGTGCTCTGGCTGATGTATATGTAGAGAATGTCTTGATTTCCTGAATGCCACGTGGTCAAGGTCTTTATCTTGCTGTTTGAATCTCTGATAGCTCAATAACCTAGTAATGAGGAGTCTTATCTCACAAGCATTTTACTTCTTCCTCGTAAAAATTTTTTGCGGCAGCATGAAGAAAAGAGCCAGGAGAAAATATTATCATTACTTGTTTGGCTTCTGCTACCAAAGAGTAATGACCATGGCATCTCTCAGCCTTTTTTTTGTAATTTTTCTTAATATTAGACTAGAATTCCAATCCAATCCAAAATAGGATTGAAGCTGTAGCAGTCCAATTCTTCAAATGCCTTAAAATCTTTTTCTTGAAAGTGCCAAAAACTGTAGCTATAGATGTGTCATCTGGCAAGCTATGCCATTGAAAATTCTGAGTGGAGAGTTCCTGTTTCAATTTCTCACTTTAGGTAATGCTAAGCTCTGCCTATGTGAATGTAGAAGTGAGATTTTGAGGCGTGAGAGAGTCTCTTTGGTCCATATGTCAATGTTTAAAATCCATTTTCTCTATCTTCCATATCTCTAACTGAAACATGGTCTAAAGAATTTAATATTTCCTGGAAACTCCATGACTTACCAAAGCCAAGTCTTATACTGGTGCACAAATGTTCTTACCCACTTTTTCCTCCCTGGTTTCATCTCAATCATAGGAAGATACTCCATTGTTTATGTATTATAAAAACAATGTTCTCCAATTGTCTTTGATATGCATTGGAGAAGCATCCTCAAAATCACAAGAGAAGATGGATAGTGAGGATGATAACCTTGCAGCTGCATTGACTTATAATGATTTTGTTCATTGGTCACTACCCTTGGCTTTGTGAGAGAAACCAAAGATTTCTTACATATGTTGCAGCTTATTCAACCATTCTGGATGCAATGATGGAAGAGTAAAATGTCATCTCCTCATAGTCATTCTTTCCATGGATTTTGCAAAGAAGTTAAAGCTCTTTCTGATGGAGGAAATTGAAAGTTCAGATATTAAACTGAAGTTGGAACCTCCAGTTTCTCAAAGTATGCTATCATTTTCATATTCCTTTTTCTTGTTGTGACTCCTTGAATTTGATGTAATTGCTGATGGCATAATCCATGTCAATACTACCTTTGCAACATCTTTGGAGTTGCTTAGGGGTGATCCCTTCCCACTTAGGGAAGAGACAGGTAGAGCTCTTCCTTTTTGTCTGGAAATGTTGCAGCTGGTAGTTCTGGGGTGTGAGCTGAAAGTGACAAAATTTTTATGAGCTCAAGAACTTGCACTGTCATCACCATCCATGTGCTTCTTCATCATGATTTTCATGAAACCTCAGCAGAAAATCTATACAATTGGAATGTTGAATGAAAGTAGAGAGTCCAAGCTTTCCTGTGGCATGCAAGCCAGTCTCAATTAGCTCCAGCCAAGATGATCTCTGAGAGAGGAAAAAGTGGCTTGGATCATCTATGCACCAGTGTAGTTGGTTTTTGCTTGCCTTTTAGCCCTTCAATTGCTTTTAGATTCATGGATAGATGCCAAAATAGATAACAGTATTTTAATAGTGGTGTGACCTATGCTTTTTAGAAGGGTGGAATTTCATTTTCACTCCATTACAGTAGGAAGTCATAGGTCCTTGAAAATAGATATCATGAAGTATAACTCCAAGATCAAGATCTCTCACACCCTTTTTCTTGCCTTCTTTCCCTTCCTCCCTCTTCCTCTCCCCATCTCTCCCCCATCCCCCCCTTCCCCCCATCTCTCCCTCCCTCTCTTTCTCTTTGCCTTTGTCTTCTTAAAATTCCACTTAATGTAATGCTTCATTTAATAAAATATGATTGGGTGGTTCTTATTCTTAAACCAAAGGTTTATTATGGAAAACATCACATTAAAGAATATAGCTATTAGAGTAACCTGCCTATTTGTTCTCTGTAAAAGTTTCCATCCTTCATCCGTGCAGCTCCAGACACACCTCATAATATAAAGGCATAGCTGTCATTTTCAGTGAAATGATGGGAGAGTCAGGAGGAAAAGCAGTGAGCCAATGGGGAAAATAAAAGAAAAAAGGGGAGAAATTATGAACAGTTTACAATGAAAAAGGAGCTGGGAGAAGAGTGCACAAAAAAAGAGATGAGAAAAGTAGGAGTAAGGGAGACGCATGTACAAATGCTACAGCCTAGAAGAAAAAAAGCAGAACTGAACTTTATTTCATAAAAGTCACCTGAAGTAGCTACAAAAAATTCAGTACAGGAGGTTTTTTGAGTGGAATTCTCCATTTAGTGAAGTAGAGTTCACTTTTTTCTTGGAGTATTCCAATATGTGCTGCTGACTAATTTTGTACATTTTGCTTTATCAGACTTATTTAACCACTTCACCCTTCTCTTGTTTTTGAGAGAGAGATAAGTCATGGGTAAGAATGAGTAGTAGATCAAGAATTGGTTCATGTAAAATTCAATTCAAGGCTTCTGTAGCTAAGGAAGTTTCTCCTTTCATTTCTATGATTTGACATTATTACTCAGCCATCCCACTATCCCTTGCAGGGTTTTGCTGTACATCTCTGTAGATGACAGCCTTAGAATTAATTTTGGTGAGGAACTATGCCCTACAGTTTTGCAGAATGGAAGTATACTACCCTGAGTTTGTTTAAAATACCTGCCTCTCATGAAACCATTGTTTGTGAGCTTTATCTGCTTTAGAAGCAGTATGGATGTCAAGAGTAGGCCACTTAAAAATTATGATTCTGGTATCTAATTGATATTCTTTTAGAATGAATCTTTCAGTCATAAAAGCTAACTTCTCCTGCATGAAAATTGGTTCTGTTCTTGTGAAACCACTTGTTGAAGCTCTCAGAATGAGATTCAGCACCAGCTTTTCAATTAAAGAGCCAAATGTACTTTCATTAGTATCATCTTGTCAATTGCTAAAAGTGAGGAATTTGAGTTGGGTCTCATTATTCAAGGAGAATATTTACAAATTGCTAAGGTCAGGCTTAGATGAGGAATCCATTCTGTCTAGGTTTCAGACGATGGTAAATCTCAGGTGGACACAGGACCTGAGAAACATGAGGGCAGCCCTTTTGGAACAGACCATTCTACTAAGTCTGAGGTGAGTCGCTTACAAATATGTCATGCAATTGGAGTACATGTAGTGGAAAGTAGCCTGTTACACTTTCATTACAATAAAATTGCACAAAGTGATTTGGATTTTCATTTTCAGTCTCTGATCTTCCTCTTTTAGAAGCCTCCTGCTGGAGAGGAGGGAGAGCATTCTGAGAAAGAGAGGAGGGATGAGAGTGAGGAGCCCAAAGAAAAGGTAACATCTGAATCCAGAGAGGCAAGGGAGGAGGAGGAAGACGAGGATGAAGAAGAAGACGAGGATGACGAGGATGAGGAAGAGGAAGATGATGAGGAGGGGAAAGACAAGAGAGACAAGGAGAAGGGAAAGGAAAAAGAGAAGAAGAAGAAGTGGGATTTTTCTGAGCCATATGATGTGTACTTCTGTCATATGTGCCACACCAAAATGTTCTCCACACGAGTGAGCAGGAACTTTACTTTTTTCTATGGGTATTCCAGTGGCAGCATTTGACTGATGGGTAGGTATGATCTCAAATGTATTTTAGTTGGTGCCTTAGTTAATACTGATTGCAAATATAGGGGGAAAAGTTACACATTAAATTTTGCATTGTGTTTTCAGTTTTTTCACACAAGCCTACTATTTATTCATGACACTAACTTTTTACTATATTTTCATTATTATTTTTTAATTATTTTTTTTTAATACTTAGTTTTATATTTTTTTTATAAAAATAGTAAAAATCTAGCAGTGTCTTCAATTTATTCAATTGACTTCAGTCTCAACCACTTATAGGATTGAATTGCACCATGTGGTATACAATTTTTCTTTGCTCTGGAAATGCCTGTTTTTTTTTTTTAAGAGAGTGGAGTCTGGAGAATCACATTCTCATGCACACATGTTCCTTCCATTTTTTTGCATGGAGTGGGGGGGGGGGGGAGCATTGGAAGGGACAGTTTGATAAATTGCAAATGGCTGATGAGGCCATGTTCCCTCTAAGATTTGTAGTTGCTGATGAATTGACACAGTTCCCATTATTTTCTGAATTGCATTTTCTTCTTGGGAATGGGAAGGATTGTTTTTCACTTAGATATACCAGTAAATACCACTTGGTATCAAATTTATTTTACCTATATGGACTGTTGTATTCATGATGAATCTCATAGTGGAACCTCTTAGACTAGTAGTGAATGCAAATTTGAAACATTTTATCCTCTCAGGCTCTCTTGCAACATTGTCGCACATCATATCATGCTGATCATCTGAGGCAGATGAATTTCCGAATCAGGCGTCAGCTGGCTCTTATGCGTCAGAAAGTTGAGGTGAGGTCATTGGACTTTATATATTCTCTGAATTTATATTTGTTTTAGCCTGCTATTGGTACCATGTTTGTCTATTTTAAATCATTTGATGCCTCTAGGCAGAGGAGAAGCTGCGACATTTCTCTCATTCCTCTCGTCATGAACCACAGCAATTTTGCACCACTTGCAAGGTGTTGTTCACAGGGTCCATAGCTACACACAAAGCTTCCACCAGTCACAGGGTGAGTCATTTACAGTGCAATAATCCTCATTTTCACCAACTCTTGCATTATGCTAATTGTTTGGTTCCCTGACTTAGGACATTGTCACCTTCATGCATCCCTCGTGTGGCATATGCCAAAGAACCTTTGTCACTCGCATTGAATACGAGAAGCATCGACTGTCCCTCAGCCATTACCGAGTGAGTCATGATTGTAGCTAACCAATATGTCATTCTAATAGAACACCACCATTCTTTTTTTACTTCTTGCATGGTCAAATTATAACATCTAACACTGAAGGTTGTCTTGAAAGTAATACTTGATAACTTTCGTCATGTTCCATTGCATTCCTATAAATATTTTACTATACTACCACTTTCCAATTATTAGAAAAACATTTTGATTTAAAGATAATGAATATTAAATAGCCATAATTAAGTAAAGTAATATGAGTGGAGATGAGTAGTTCCTTCAAGATTGAAGCATTCACATATTTTGGTGTAGATCTTACCCTGGAGTTGTTAAATATGACTGTCCCCATTACTTGGGAGTAATTGGGACACTGCCACAAGCATGTGTGTGAAGTATATGCACAACAGACACATAGTACTGTTCATATCTGGAATGCCATCTCGCCCTGCCTGTCATAGCCTCCACTTGACCTTTCTCTGGGCATTGTGAAGTTCTTGTTGACTTGTGCTTCTGAGACGTTTCTTTTTGCAAATTTTTTTCTTAATAACCACAATTCTCATGTCTGAATATCTGAAGTTGCTGCTGAGATTATATAATCTCTAAACAAAGAAATGTATCCTGCCTTGATGGTCAAAATTGTTAGACAAAAAATATATTTTGCGGATGTTTTTTAAAGTATTAACTGTCATGTTGGAAATTTGGAATTTTTTATGTATCAAGTGATGCCAAGAAACTACTTGTGCTTTCAGTTGAAGAGAGAGAAAGAAGAGAGAGACAAGAGCAGAGGTGGAGAGGGTGAGCCCGGTGATGATGAAATCTCTCAGCTAAACATGGAGGAAATGTTAACTGTGGACGCAGTTGGGGAGTATGGTATGTTTCCATCATCAGACAGTACAGTAGACCTATGCTGGAGTCTGTTCATGCTCCAGTTTTCTTGCCTTACTGTCAACCATGTTACAGCTTCTGGTGCATCTTTTCTTAGATTCCCTCTGATTACCATCTTCTACTTTCTGTGCTTTGTGCGAGGACGCTTTATTGACCAGTCAATTAAAAAATTAAAAACCTGTCAGTTAATGCATCAAGTACATAGTCTATATGGTCATTTATTATAAAAATTAGTTAATTACTCTCATTGACAGTTTTGCACTCTTATCACTCAGTGCTTATTCTATGAGGATGTCTCAACTACATTTCACCTATTTACTCTAACCAGTATGGAAATATCAGAACATAAAATGCCAACCAGTGATGTTTTAGTCATAGATACTACCTCTAGACTGTTCTTTGGGGGTGATATAGGATTAGGCTTGATGTATAACCTGATTTAAGCTTTAATGCTTAAGATTACATCTTGAACAGGGTCAGGAACAGGAACTCTTATGCCATACCACCCAGGTTGTCTGTATTACCATGAGAGAATAATGGATTCTTTTAAAACACTGAAATTACCAATGACAAACCTTGAAATTCAAAATAACATATATTGGGCAAAATGTGCTACTTGGGATCAGAGATTCAGTTGGTAAGTACTAGTATGCATTGGCATTATTTTGATTCATTTGTGTTTCAAAGAATGGAGCAAAATTGTTGGTGGATGTTTGATGCTTAGGAAAATAGGAAAGTTGTTGACAGCTTTGTGGTATTTAGGCATGAATCTTGCTGTACCATAAATATCAATATAATACAATGCCAAATTGTATTATATTGATAGTCAGTTTTATTCAATAGGCTCAATTTTAAATGTTGCATTTGAGTAGATTTAAGAAGGTTTGTGCTGAATTTGAAAGAAAATTTGTCTATTGCATAGTATGCTATACTAGTTCAAACTTGAAGGATAAAAAATGCCCTGGACATCCCTGCTGATTGTTCACTTCAACCAGAGCAGCGAACTGCTGTAGAGGTGGGAGCACTCATTTGAAGGCAAGTAGATAATTCATGTAGCTGCCAAATGCAAAGGAGACATTGGTGTATCCCTTTCACCTGTCCACTGAATCATCAAAAATGTTTCACACAAAAATGCTTTAAAAAAAAAACATTTCTCCAAGAGTGGAGTTACTTGGCATCATCAATGTAACAATTCTAGATTAGTGGCAGTGGCTGAATGCTTGCATCTGAGAACATAAGAGCTGTTTTAAGCATAAACCATGATTGAAGGAGTGGTTATCCTTCATGTTAGGCTAAAACCTCCCACATTGGGCCTATCCAATAAAATATACTTTCAGTGTTATCAAATACAAATTTGCTATCTTTTTTTAACACCTTGTAGTAGTTGTAGTTTTAGGCCAGTCTTTTTACTATGACATGGGAACTTTCCTGCTCTTTTTTGCCAGAGGGTGAATCAGATGGTGATATGAAGAGAGATGAGGATGAGGAAGATGGAAATGGAGAAGGAGGAAGTAGGAGGAGGGAGGAAGAGAGGAGAGAAGGCAAGAAGCACTCCGAGCACTTAGGAGATGAGGATGAGGCATGGAACTTCCCAGAGAAATTCAATCCTGACATTCCTGTTGGTATGTGAGAAAGCCATGAACTTTTCCTTGTATGTGCTGAGGGCCTTGGCTTGAATGTGATGGATACTTTCCTTTTTTTAAAGGACAAGTGTGCATTAATCAAGTTGTTGGCTGGTTCTGTCGCATCTGCACCATGTTCTTCCGAGATGAGCAGAAGGCCTTGTCTGAGCACTGTCGTTCAGAGAAACACTATGTCAACTTTGTTTCATATGCCAAAAAGAAAAAGGAACATGTTCGAATGAAAGCCAAGCAAATGGAGAAAGATTCCGACGAACAGTCGCGACCAGCTCAAGGAGGAAAGAAGCGAACTGTGAGTTCACAAGACTCCATCTCCACTGCATCGTTGTATTGTCTAGTCTGATTTTTACTTTTTCTCTCAGGTCCTCTAATTATTTGCTACAAAACAGCTTCATGGGGAAGGATAAAACCCCCCCCCCCCCCAAAAAAAAAAAACTACCTGCAAAGATAGGGAGTGAAAGTACTGGTTGCACACATTTGGTGCTTCTCAATTACATCCAGGCTTATAGCTTCCCTTATTTATAATGAGAAATTTTCTGCAAGCAATTGAATCTAATGGCATGAACTTGTTCACTTGTTAACGTTCCACATGGACATTCAGGTTCTAGTTTGCATTATCAAATGCACACTCACATTTACATTCACAATCATCCAGGTACATATGGCATAACATAAATATTTTCAATAGTGACATCACTTTTTGCTGGTGGGTTTCATTCAAAACAAAGGGTGTGTTGCTTTAAAATGGTATTATCTTTGCAAAGGTCTTTTTTTTTTTTTTTTTTTTTACTGTTGTTACATATATGCAGTGATGGGAAATCAGATTACCTTCCTTATTCAAGCATGTAAAGGGGCGTTTGGGTTAACTAAGTGCTGGTGCTTGTTTTGGGAGCTGAGCAGACCCTGAATTTTTACAAAGAAGAGGCTCATAGGTTACATCATTGCAACATGGTCCCAGGAAAAGTCCCTGGACCATTCACTATTACATGAGTCATAGGGAATTAAAACCATGTTTTACAAGCAGAAACTTGGGAGCCACTTCTTCTTTTGATAATTCCTCATATATGAATGAGTAGGCTGGAGAATTCACTCATTGAACTAAGGCACCTCATGTGACTTAAGACCAAATTGCCCTTTAATCCCTATGTAAAAGAAATTTTCAAAGACTCGCAGACCACCCATGATTGTCCAAAAGTGATCATTTAATTCCCCCCCCCCCCCAACATATCAATACCAAAAGCCAATTTTTAAAGAATTGTTGCTAGGTGCAGCTTTTACTATTAAAAAAGAAAGTCGATTTTGTGCACGATGTTGGAAGTATGGCAGTATTTCTTCCAGAGGGAGCATATGTTTTAATTTTAGATAATATACATTTGGAAAGATTGTATTCTTCTGAACTAGTGACTTGTGTGGAGGCACAAGTTTTCAAGAGGAGTTTTCTATAAGTATTGGCAAAAGAAAGAGGGTAAGGTTTGCAAAGGATAGAGGTTTAGATTTGCATGTTTTGCCTACATAGCATAAGATGTCATTCAGCTGACCATCCTGTCATGTATTTCAGAAGGTTTTATGAAAGAAGGAAACATCTCAGTGGGGGGAGATGAAATTCATGCTGACAATTCATCTGATGTGTGAAATATTGTAAGTGTAAGCAGCCTCCATGCATGATGAATGGCTGTATTCCAGGTGGAAGAAGTAGAAAGTTATGTGGCTGATTCTGGGAATTGGAAGAGGAAGAAGAGAGAGCAGGATAGGGAGCGTGAGGATGAGGATGTTGAGGATGAAGAGGATGAAGAAGAAGAGGACAGACAAGAAGAAGATGAAGAAGGGAACCATGGTGAGCAAGCAAATGTTCTCTCATTGGCCTTGTCCACACTAGAAAAATTTCATGGTGAGGACATCTGAAAGTTTTATTTGCAAGATTTTCAATGCTCTGGGAGATTTCTTCAAAATTTTTCTTTCTAAAACCTTTATTTTGCAACATTCTTTCATTGTCTATGCAATAAAACTTTCTGGTGTGGATGAGGCCTTACTGCTGTAGCTCTTCATTTGCTGAATCCAATGATGTAATGGGAGATCTCCCTTCCTGCATTTTAGATCGACATCAGCACATGGAGCAAACCGAAGGATGTTCGACAACGGTTGAGGGTGCAGATTTGCAGAAAGAAGATTAATGTGATTTGGATATCTTCTGACTTTGGCTTCAATGGTTCTCCTTCATATTCCTTTCATTTTCTTTCCTTGAATAATTTTGTGTGAACGGTTTGGGATCTCAGTGGAGTTTTCAGTTATTTCTTGGAATGATAGGACCTGACATTGATGCTGATGGGATCACATGCACCAAACATACTAGTGTGCACCTCCAAAAGATGGAGGTTCCCATCTCTTGAGATTTCTTAGCTCAAGGATTTAATGGTGTGAGTGATGACAGAAAACTAAGATTTCAGGTGTTGGGGTATTCCTGAAGTCTTGATATACATTATTGAACCGTGTGATTAATGTTGCATTGCATACTACCCCATGCACACAGGCAGAAATTCAGCAAGAATATATCCCCCTATAAAGAAAAATATTTAAAGTATTTTGAGGCAGATCACCTGTCATACTGATGGATCTTTGAACCTTGTGATGAGGAATAGAACTGGTGGAGACAATTTCAAGATTCAGCTTACTGCTGATATTTTTCAGCGGCATGCTTCCTTTATCTGCTTTACCTAAAAGTTGCCTTCATTTTCATATCTGTTTACGACATCTTCGCTTGCATAGTCACCATATATTCTTTCACATATTGATTAGATATTTCATCTGGATAGGAAAGAATCCATGCAGCATTCACCTCCTTGGATTTTAAGGGACAGTGAAAGGGCGAACACGCAGCTCAGGGTGGTATATCTGGTACTCGACATTGAGGTTGGATCCTGGAGATGAGTGTTTTTGTAACAAATTTCAACATGCTATGAGTGCACCAGCAAGAGTAAATCCATTTACATGCATTTTCATGGATTTTACGACTTCTGAAAACCTTGAGTATCAACCCCAACTATCGGGAATCTAGGATCCTTCACAAACACGAGGGGTGTTCTGAAAGTAACTAGATTTCTTTTATTTCTCTTTCCCTTTTCATCCTAAGCACACGGAACTGTACACATACTCTAATTTCTACATTAGCGAAAGTGCCATAACAAGTGAAGAGGTCAAGGGGCGTGACAGTTCAGGTTTGTTTGAGTCACGACGAACACCATTCAATATACCCGATGATGTGCTGACCCTGGATGGATATATGTTTAATTGTCAGATGGCATGGGTGAGGTGAAATTGCCTTCCTGAACGAGTCACCACCAGGAGCAGATGAGGTGTAGTTTTAGCATGGATCTTGAAGCATGTGCCACATGGTGGTAGAGTGACATAGTATAGTCGAGTCGCTGGGAATGTGGGCAGTAGAAGGAAAAGAAAAGAAATGAGTCATTTAGGGTCTCCCCTGTCTTTGTCGGTGGAACTCCCATCGTCAAAGACATGACATACTGACACGGATGCCACATGGGTATTCTCTTTAGAGGTGAGTATATATATTTTCTTGCAGTCTTTACGATCTCCTCATGCGAACAGTTTCATCTTGTGGCGTCTCTGTGTTATTCCTGAGAGGCCAACCACTCTTCACATTTAGCATTCCTGCTGTTCTTGTGAATAAAAACTGCCTGTGGCAACTCAGTTATCCCAAGCCGGAGATTAGGGGAGGGGGCTGTCAACTAGCTGACATTTTATGACCTCTTATGACCTGTCAAACTCGCCATATCCCCAGTGACTCGACTATACAGGAATATACTTAGACGTCGTGCATTGGCCAAGTGGAGAATTTTGCTTCCAACTGAACGAGATAATGGAACTGTAAGAAAAAAAGTTTCTCAAGAACCTGGAATGGTTGCTTCCCCTCCGTTTTTCAATCTCAAGATTTCTTGTTTTTACTTTTTGTTTTCAAAACGAAGAAGGGAGCAGAGGACAACCCTCCGAGGCGTCACGCATGTTTCTACGCGTACTTGCAACCTTAGGGTGGATTTTTGAACTATCCGATAATGCAGCTTTATTTCTGAGGAAATGCATTATAAATCCGGTAAATAAAGCAGCATTATCGGATAGTGCTCTGTTCAAAAATCCACCCTTAGCGTTTACAGAATGGTAAATGGAGTCACCTGTGCGTAATTCTGAACTTGGATAGATTGAAGTTGTGAAGTGAAACGACATGCAGACGGAGGACGAAAGGATTCTCCACATACCACTCCCCACGCGTCACGAAGACGATGCGAGTATCTCCGTGAGCCTGCTGACGAGCGTAGAAAACGCCAGGGAGCTGAAGCAGCTCGTCACGAGCGGAAAGCTCCGAGCGACCCTCCTCAAGCCACAGCTGGTGAGTGCCCTCCCCCCTTCGTGCCATGCTCCTTCCCCTCCTTCCCTTTGCATTAGGGCTCGTTGTCCTTCAGGTTCCGGGCTTGCTTCCGGTGGTGGCGGCCGCCACGAAGGCTTGGATCGCCTCCAAGAGCGGGAAGATGGTCACGCGGAACCTCTGCTCGGAGCTCATTCTTTCCTTGTCGCCTTCGAAAAATGTGAGCGAGCAAGTCTTTTGAGCGTGCGATACTCTCTCGCGATCGTCTCATGCCTGCGTCTTTGCCGCTTTCTTAGATCAGAGATTCCCTCGTGAAGTTCGGGATCGGGGACGAGGACGACAAGGTACTTCTGGTGGCGTTTCGCGACGTGAACGGGCCTTCGATGGAGAAGATGATCGGTGAAATCGTGAAGGGCACTCCAGAAGGCCTCCCTTCCTCCCTTCACCGCCTTTGTGATCATGAGATGATCTCCAAAATGTACAAAATCCGAGAGCACGAATTAGAAGGGAGTTCCATCGAGGATTGTGTCGTTTCGCGTGTCGCTTCCAAAGAATTTGTGACTGTTTGATCGAGTGGAATGAAAAAAATTTGGTTGTGCATTTTCAATTCTTTTTTTTCCCCCGTTGGATCCCGAATTGATCACCTGCGAATGACTCATTCGAGGGAGAAAGAGATCAGATCCCACACAAACCGGATTTCCTGTGGATCGATATCAACAAAATATTTTATCGGACAAGTCGCAGCAATCCACAAAACGTCAAATTATATCGAAGTGCCAGCTCTCGAAAGAGCCGAAGAGATAGAGTCCCCTCTTGACACTTGACAGGCGACCCGTCAAAATCCAATCACACGATGTGCTCGGGATGAGAAGTAACCCCCTGCCCCACCCCCCCCCCCCCCGAATCAGGCCTTTAAATTCGCCACGCCCCTCTCGACGCGGCCTCGAGAAGGACGGAGGCGGTTCCGCGTCCATCCGCCTCCTCCGCTCCCCGGTCGTCGCAATCTCGCACGATCCCGCCCCCATGCATCCTATCTTCATGGAAGACAGTTCGCTGCGAGTTCGATGATGTCGCTGAATCGCAGACGCAGGGTGAAGGATCCTCTGGACCCGGCACCCGTCGTCTGCTAAAGGACCAGTCGAGAAGTTCTCATTCTGATGGGGGAAAATATCCCACCAAATTATATTTAAAATAAATGAAAAACAAATCCATATTATCAGCAATGTATTCCCTTTCAGTCGTTTGGGGACGGATCCAAGAACTCGCCTAATTCTTGCAACTTGGAAGAATACTATCGAGATCTTACCACTCGAATTTAAAGCAAATTGCTACTCGGAGTTCATCGCTCGTATGAGCCATTTCAAATGTCATCTTGGCAATATCATCCGAAATTAGAGACCAAATGGTTGCTATAGTTGAATTTGGGTCTAAGATGTTCGAATAGATCGTCTGCTTCAGGTCACGTGATACATCGCGTATGCATAGCAGCCAAATGTCGGCGAAATACGACTTGTTTTCAATCCCAACCGGTCTTTCAAACTGGACTTCTGCCTAAATTGAAAGTTGGAAGCGCCCGACCGTCTCGTCCTTGAACATTCCTGACGAGGTTCGTGAGGATGTGAACTTGAAATCGATTATCTAAGTTCCTCATGGTGAAGACAGCACTCCCACAGAATGATAAATAATTTTCGCATTTTTCATGTCATTCCAACTTGAATGGCTTCCAGGCTCCGCCCTTTCGACCGCGACAATTTAGTCCCAAAACGATGAATCGCATCCAGTCGCATCGCAGCTGCCCGTCCATGATGCACGGCAAGTCGACGTCGGCCTGGAACACAGAGAAGCCACCTCCACGCTCGGACTTGGAATCAGCCCTGAAACCATGCATAGTGTTCGGGAAGCTGCTGCTCGCCTTCCCCCGCCTTCGATTGAGTCTGGAAGGCGAGTGGGAGGGATGGGGAGCCTGGCTCTTCCGCTTCTTCGCCGCCCTCGTCGTCGCCTTCTCCATCATCCTCATTCTCCTCGTCAATGCCACCCGTTTCCTCCGATTGTCTTTTAAGGATCGTCTGCAAAACATCTTCGGCTTCACCATGTACATCTTCTGCAGTCTCATTTGCGCCTGCTTCTTCTACGTATCGGCCTACAAGACCGCCGATCTTCGGAGTCTGGTCCGGTCCCATCGGGATTTGGAAAAAAAACTTGCCGCTTTCGGTCTCCAACCTCGACCTTCATTCGTAAGGCCCTTCACCGTATCTGCTCATAGTTAAGTTGAGTGATTCCATCTTGTTCTCAATGCCCACTGACAGATGAAAATGGTGAGTATCATCATATGCGCATCCTTCCTTGGGCACAATTTCGTTTACGAATTATGGGCTGGCTTGGAGCGCATAGACAACACCGGCTTCTGGTTTCCGGTGAATATGACCAACGAGAATGAAGGTACACTCATTCCTTCACTGCGTTAGGATTATATTTGAAACTACCGATAGACATTTGAAAGATCAGCTATGGTAATCGTGCAGGGTTGCCAAGCTGGTTGCTGATCGCATGGTTTTCCTTGGATCGCTACTACTTCGCTTTCTACTGGGTCTTGTCGTCGGCTTTCATCATTCTCCTTTCCTTTCCCCTCTCCGAGAAGATCCGACATTATAACTTCATCTTCATGAGTGGAAAGATTTCGCACCATCAAGTGGGATTATTATTCTTTCGGTTATTAGTATCTGCTTCAAACCACCTTCCCTACTTCCTCCTTTATTTCATCAGGCATACACGATGCACTTGGAGCTGATGAAGCTGGTGGATATGACCCAGGATATCCTGTCCCCGTTAATACTCTGGGCTTACCCTGACGCTATCTGCTATCTCATCGACGTCGTCCTTCGCATCATATGCGTCCAACATCCTCATCCAAGGAACGTATGGAAATTAATTTTTCATTCCATTCGGATCCTGCTCGTGACGTATGGTCTGGTGAAGGTCCACGATGAGGCCCATCGACCCGTTTCTTGGATACATTCCCGACTTGATCTCGAACCCAGCAACCCCGTAAGGCATTCCATGCTTCGAGATGCCCTTATATACCTGCATGACAAACTAAGACTGGATCGACCCTCCTCGATTAGCATTTGCATCTACTGGCCGACAAGCTGCAGACTTCGAAGGTCGCCCTGTCCGGAGCTGGACTCTTTCGCGTTACACGGTCTTTACTCGTAACGGTCTGCCTTTTATTAATCGATCTCTGACTCTGCAGCGGAATCTTCAGGAAACTCAATTTCACAGATTTCCGTTCGTGTTTTCTTCTTGCTGCCACAGGTGTTCGGGACCATCTGCACCTTCACGATCGTCCGGCTCCAGTTTTATCCTCCCGGTGGCTCGTGAGGGATCCCCACGGTTTTTATACCTTTCCTTGAAATTCCTCGACCGTGTTGTCGATGACCACGGGGATTGATTTCATTGATTCCATCGAAATTCATCCAGTGGAATATTGTGTCTGATTGGAGATGATTCTTGCATAAAAGTTTGCTCGACTTGGCGGTCATCAAAGTTTTTTTAGGGAATTTCTCTTCAAAAATCGACTAAAAATATTAATATGAAAAAAGGAAACTTTTTGAGTTTTTTTCGCGTGTCTTTTGCTGTCAGATTAACCCTGATTATTCTTTCTTGAATTCAAGAAAGTTCAAAGAAAGAAATTGCTTTTTAACTGTAATTGCGGAATGTGAACAAGGAAAATTCAATTTCGCAGCAGAGACGGTATTGTTCATAGAAATCTTGAGGAAATCCAATCCTGCATCGCTTGTCGATGAAAATTTCCTCATCGATTTCGTCGTTTTTGTTTTTGTTTGTTTCGTTCGGCTCTGTAATTGATGCTCGGCGTCGCACTTGCTCAGCTGCTAGTTTTTATTCTAGAGTAATATAGTATGTGGATTGTTGAAATCGCCAATCTCGCCTATGAGACCGGCTTGGCGTGATGATGGATTGGTACGTTTAAATTTGACAAAAGGAGCAAGCCTTCAGAGCCTTGCATTTCATTTGACTTTGAGTTCATTGCGGAAGGAAGGGAATTTCGGTTAATTTTCCTTTCATGATTGGAAAGAACCGAAACGACATTCCGAAACGAGAATCCAAAAATCGATCAATATCGCTGATCACTTAGCGAATTGCACTCGAAGAACGGAAACTCCCTTCCATCGACCCCTCGCTTAGGATCTGAGGTAAATGGGGACAGATGCAACGCAGGACACACACCACGTCAGACAAGGACGGTTGGATTCCTGCCGATGGGGTTGAGGGTCTGCAGTGGGGTTTGCGGAGGGCTCGAGGCATGTGGTCACCCTCGGCAGGATCTTCCGCTGCTTCAGCCGAGATGAGATGCGATCTCTCATACGAGACGCTGAGCCACATTCCAGGAAGCAAAGATCATCCTATGTACGTTCGCTGGATATCCGCATGAGAAATGCAGGGTATATCCTGAAGCGACGCCTTCTGGACGTCCGCTTCATGTAATCCAGGAATTTTTGTAAAATTTTGATGCACATGAATAATCCAAGTACTCTGGATGAAATTGCTCTTTTTTCCCTTTTTATCTATTGTATCTAGGCAGAGGAAATAACGTTTCTCCGAGCAGATGGAAGATTTAGTTTCGTACACAAAGTGCGAGTCCAAGTCCCACAAGGGAAGCTCTCTCATAATACCACATATCTCAAACTTGTTGCCATTGTTACATTCGGATGGACGACGTTTCAGCAGATACTCTGCTACAGGCAAAATTCTACATCATGTATATATAATTGGGCCGAATTTAGAAAAATAAAAACTACCAGATTTTTTATGCAAATGTCCAAATAGTATGAGCAAAATCTTCACAGTAACACAAGTGTGTCCAGATGGACTTCGGCCTAAAATACATTGTTGGCGTGATTCTTCACGTATGACTCCAAAGTTGAAGGTGTCCGATCGTACCATCCTTGGGGCATTTACGAACGACGTTCTTGGGGAAATGGTTGAAGAATCGATGGTTCAAGTTCCACGTCAATGATGAGGGGAGCACTTCGATGTTATAATGAAAATTTTCATCTCATTTCTCATTGGACGGTTAATGGGCTCCACCCTCTTGACAGACCCAATTTATCCCCAGAATGATGAATTGAGTGCTCCAGTCGCATCGAAGCTGCCCGTCCATGATGCACGCCAAGTCGATGTCGCCCTGGAACACAGAGAAGCCGCCTCCACGCTCGGATTTGGAATCAGCCCTGAAACCATGCATAGTGTTCGGGAAGCTGCTGCTCGCCTTCCCCCGCCTTCGATTGAGTCTGGAAGGCGAGTGGGAGGGATGGGGAGCCTGGCTCTTCCGCTTCTTCGCCACCCTCGTCGTCGCCTTCTCCCTCATCCTCATTCTTCTCGTGAAAACCACCCGTTTCCTCCGACTGCCTTTTAAGGAGCGTCTAGATAACATCTTCCACTTCGCCATGTTCATCTTTTGTTGCCTCCTGAACGTCTGCTTCTTCTACCTATCGGCCTACAAGACGTCCAATCTTCGGAAGCTGGTCAGGTCTCATCGGGATTTGGAAGGAAAACT